GAGAGAGAGAGAGAGAGAGAGAGAGAGAGAGAGAGAGAGAGAGAGAGAGAGAGAGAGAGAGAGAGAGAGAGAGAGAGAGAAGGCAAGAGCGCCCGCAACAGGAGCAAGGCACCGGTCACATTACGGCCTCGAACCACGGACCTCGATGAGCTTCATGCCCTCAAATTGGTCAGACACAATGGTCACTTTGAAGTGGGTTTCGCTGCCTATGTGAGCAGAACACCGACGGCAGATGATGAGCGCCGAGGCCTCCTTGTGTTGACCAGCTCATGGCTCTACATCTCACCTCGAGGGACAGAGTGCATGTAGCTCTCATTCTTGACGTCAAGCGTGGTGGGCTAGGCGACGCATCGCATTAGCCCGCCAACATGAGCCCGCGCAGACCATGCCATGATGCCCGAGCATGGCCACATACCTGAAAGCGCTCCGTCAACTTCTGTCGGATAGCCGCCATCACCGGGCCCTACCCAGTTGGTCCACGCAAAGGGCTCGTGACAGAGGTACACAGATGCTCACGTCGTGGCACGCGCGTTTGGCAGGTCGGAGCGGCGCACACGCACATACCGGCTGCTGCTCGGCCGCAGCCCGTGCAGCAGATGACGCCATACTACGCACAAGGACCTGCCCTACGTGCCAGCCACCGCCGCGAACCAAGGACATGATCCGTTCACAATCACAATCGGCCGCCGTCCCCACACGAAGACCGCCGCGCGACGAGTGACTGATGAGAGCAAATAATGAGCAGGCAGCCTGATGCATTATCTAGATAAAAAGCTGCACAAAGTCGCTTACGTTAACATTGACACGCTCATATAACTTTATATAATCGGACTTTACTGAGAAAACTACTTCATAAACTATAAAATGATGACAAATGGACTGAAGCTGACAAATCGAACGGCTATAAATTAAAATAACCTCTTTAAAGTATATTTTCGTTACCGTTTGTGTGTTTCAAGTCTTCGAGTCTCTGTGTCTCTGCAAATGTCCCTCTGCTTCTCTGACGTTGTGCCTTTGATGCTCCATGGCTCTTGTACTAAATTCATCTTTAAGAAGATCTCTGTAATTTGCTTTGTTTTCGTGTATCTGAGCGTCGACCCCTTGCAAATATCTCTCCGTTTCTACCACGCCTCCGACCGCCTCTCTCATTCTCGATCACCCCTCCTCTCAATCTCTTCCTATCTCACTTCCCGCCCTCCCCTCTCTCTGAACTTTCCGTTCGCCACAAAAAAAAAAAATCTCTCTCTCTCGCGCGCGCTCGCTCTCTCTCTCTATTTCTCTCTCACGCGCTCGTGGTGTCGAGCGAGCTGGTCGCTCTGCCTTTTGAGTGTGTATCGGGTGGCCGTTCTGCTGCTTGAACGTTGAGCTGGATCAGTGGGGTTGCAGGTCAGTGGCTGGGCGTTGGGGTGGTCCTCGTGCTGGGTTGTATCTGGCTGCGCCACGGACAAGAAGGGATCTGCAGCAGGCTCATTCGGACGGTCCGCTGACAGGTGCTCTCGAGTCGGTGGCCGCGGCAGCGAGGCGCAGCCGTCCATCCAACATCTGAGTTTGATCTTGCTCCTGCTTGATGATCCTAGCGCTCTGAAAGTGCAGAGCACGAAGACGCACCATCCAACAAGCACGCTGGTGCCAGGTCCTGGGCTTTGACGTTCGTTTCTTCTTGGAGAGCTTGAGCACTAGGATCCGCACTAAAAACTTTTGCATCGAGCAGACGGCTGCCCATCGCTAGCTCGAGCCTTTGATAACTTTGGCCATGGCCTTGCCCGCGGACTTTTGCCTACCGGGCGAAGGCAGCTCGGATTTTGATTTCTCAAACTTTGGCGAGGATTCTGAAATTTTCCCAATCACCGAAGCCTCCATGCATCCAAGGTCTAAACAATGATCCGGACCCCCACGTGCCCCCCACTCCCCTGTCTTCTTGCGCGATCATCACACAGCGCTCAAACCTTGCCTCTTGCGATCAGAGGTGCTTGTCGCTTGGTGCAGCTCACACGCTCATTGGTCTTGTGCCCCGCCGCCCCCCTGTTGCTGGCAATCTTTCCTAGCGATGGCGAGCGGGTGGGACCAGCAGATTTCGAGCTCTTGCGCGTCCTTGGCTCGGGGGCCTACGGCAAGGTCAGCATCCGCCTGCACGAGCTCAACTCCGTTGCCCCTTGGTCCATGTCTGCGCTCATGCCTGGGCTCCATGCCCCAATGTACAAGCCCTCACCTCGAATGGCTGCCCTCGCCTAGGTCATGCTCACCCGTAAGGTCACAGGCAACGACACCGGTACATTATATGCCATGAAGGTCTTGAAGAAAGCCGCCATTGTCGTACGTGCCCTCGCACGCCCCCGCATTGCCTCGCCGTTTTTTTTTTTTTTTTATCTCCCATGTTTTTTTTTCTTGACAAGACCCGACACAGCTCGACTCCGGCTTGACACGCGCATGATGTCTGCTCGCACCGTTCCTCTCACGCTTGCAGCGCCAAGCCAAGATGACCGAGCACACGCGTGCCGAACGCAACATTCTTGAAAGCATCCGTCACGTCCCGTTTGTGGTCCAGCTCCACTATGCCTTCCAGGTCCCATCTTCCCACCGGATCGCAGTGGCTGATTGTCTTGATTTGGTTTCCCTGATCTGATGCTTACCCCCCGCACGCTATACCTTTTGTTTGCTCAGGATGAGTCCAAACTTCATCTTGTACTCGACTATGTCAACGGCGGCGAGCTCTTCACGCATCTCCGCCGTCGCGTCATGTTTCTTGAGCGCGAGGCTCGTTTCTACGTGGCAGAGGTACTCGCGTGTTCCCAAGTCGCTTTAGCCCATTCCTGAGCCGCAAAAACCACCGACCCCCCTCCCCGTCTTTCACCCGTGCGCGCCATCTGCCCTGACATGTTTTAGATTCTTGTGGCCTTGGATGCCCTACATCGCTTGGGCGTCATCTACCGAGATCTCAAGCTTGAAAACATCCTCCTGGATAAGGAAGGCCATGTACGCTTGACCGACTTTGGTATGTGCAGCGCCAATTCTTCCTCCTCCACATTGAGATCACCCCTCGTGCGCTCCATTTTACCGCCTCTGACGAGAGCTCGTCTGGTGTCTGTTCCAGGCTTGTCCAAGGAGCACATCCAATCACCCGCCGCCCGCACTTACTCCTACGCCGGCACCACCGAGTACCTGGCACCCGAGATTGCGGGCGAGCACCCCGAGGGGCACGGTCTCAGCGTGGACTGGTGGAGCCTTGGGTGCCTGCTTTACGAGTTGGTGCAGGGTGAGTTCATCTGGTGCCGCTCACGCCCACGAACGGGCTCGTCCAAGTTTCATTCTCCCAATCGCTTCGTTTTGTGACTGGCCAGGTCACACGCCCTTTGTCAACTACCCTGGCGACACGGACAACAGCAATTCGGCCATTGCTCGCCGCATTCTGACGGTTTGTACTTTGCCTCATCAGCGCTAGCTGCGGTCCCCTGTTATCATCTTCCAACGCTCAAAAACCATGTGCCCGCGCCTTCTCTCACGAATGACCTTGCGCGTTTTGAACATCATGCACCGTAGAAACCCGCCGTCTTGCACAAGTCCATGAGCAAGCCGCTGCGCGGTCTGCTCACCGGCGTAGGTCTTATTTATGGGCGTGACAGTGTCAATTTCAGAATGGTTGAATATCCTAACAACAGTGTCTCCGCGCCCCCTCCGGCCTCTGCTGTGCGGTAACTTTTGCTGAATCCTTCTTTAGCTATTGGAGAAGCGAGCCGAAAAGCGACTGGGAGCCCATCGGGACGCCGCAGAGCTCATGGTACGTCGTTGAGGCCCTCATTGCCCGCTCAAGCATCTTGGCTGAACGGGCGCATGCAACTCACCCTTGATTGTCACTCTTGCCCCTTGCAAACAGGAGCATGCCTTTTTCAAGCCACTCAAGTGGGAAGACTTGCGTGATAAGAAGGTGCCCCCCCCAATTGTGCCTGTGATTGCCAGTAAGTGATATCTTTTTCCGTTTGTCCTTTGTTCGTGCTCCAGTGAGGCTTGGCGCTTGCTCAACCACCTTGACGGTCTTCATCGTGGTTCTCTGTATTGCTGCCAACCGCGCGTGACCCAGATGAGCTGGATACGCAAAATTTTGATTCCGAGTTTACAGACCAAGACCCCGTTTTGACGCCAGCACCCCCGACCTCGCCAACTGCCCGCATGGTTCGTTTGCCGCCTGATGATCTTGCCTTTTCACGTCTACAGTGGACGAACTTGGGTCAGGCGCCCCCTCGAGCCCACCTCACTTGCTTGTTGCTGGCTGGCACCACGACAACAGCTCTTTCGCGGGTTTTCTTTCGTCGGGCCAAACGTTCTCTTCAATTCCGGTTAGGCTCCCACGCTCTTTTCTGCTTTTGGCGCATGCTTGAATGGACCCAATGCCAGCCCTTTGCCTCTGCAACCCTCTGAAACAAGGGGTTTTGCTTAATGTGACATGTGCATGCGTTGCAGGCTTGTTTGACCCCGAGGCTTCTCAAAACGCGACGGCTTTGCAATCCTCTTTGCAGAGTGAGTTATTGTGCCGGTCACACAATCGCAACGCTTCTGTCGTTGTTCAAGAGGAAGTCATGATTGTATTCTACGCTCACGCAAATGCAATGGTTTCATCCACACAGACGTCGTGTCCGTGCAACAAGTGGTCCCACAGGCCAACCACAACTCGCTGCCGCAGTTTAGCGCGGAGATTCCGGCATCGGCTCCCTTCGTTCCGCCGATGGATGCATCTGGTAACAACACACAACAATCCACGGCATCGCTTCAAACGCAAGCCACGATGCCCGAGGATATGCCGCAAGATGAAAGTGCCAACATGGGTTTTGTAGATGTTGGCATGGCCCGTGCTGAACCTCGGCAGCCCTTGAAGACCGCGCTCGGTGCGAAAGCTCTTGTCGGCCAAACCCTCCGTTTCATGGCAACACAGACTAACATGCATGCCTGCTATTGGCCGATTTTAGGTGCCATCCCACCCTCGGCACTGACCAGTCAAGGTGCCACCGCCTCATCATCGCCCATAATCGATTCAGAGTACGTGACACCGTGGCTTATTTTATAAGGCGGCCAACACCCCCCACTCACCCCCTGTGGAGGTATTGTGTCTTATTTGCCCTTTGTTTTGCGTTGGTGCGTGCGTGACAGACGAACGTTCCATATGGAATACACCATTCCTGCAGGAGAGCGCGAACTAGGTCTTGGAAGCTTCAGGTCAGCGCCCTGGATCAGATCTGGCAGCGGGGAACAAATTCTCGCTTGGTCAGCACATATGTCTAGTTCACCGTTTGGCCTCCGCTTGGACAATATAGCACGTGTCGCAAGTGCATTCGTAAATCGGACAATGCGGCCTTTGCCGTCAAGATTGTCAGCAATCGGGGCCAAACGCAGGAGGCCGAGATGCTGCGCCGCGTGCAGGGCCACCCCAACATTATCCAGCTCATTGATGTCTTTCAAGATCCCGTCCACACGTACATTGTTATGGAACTCTGCACGGGCGGTGCGTCGGGCCACTTGTGGTCACCACTGCCTGTCCTATGTAGGCTGAGGTGCAGTCGCTGTTGTGTCTCACGCATGGCATGGCCTTTTCTTGCGCGGTGCTGCGTTCTGCAGGCGAGCTCTTCTACCGCATTGCACAGCATGGCAACTTGAGCGAACGTGAAGCCCGTAACATCTTCAAACAGCTCGTGTCTGCCGTGCAATACAGCCACAACAATAACGTGGTTCATCGTGATCTAAAAGTGAGCCTTCCATCAAGCCCTCCGCTGCGTTGACGCCAAAGGCTGTTTTCTGTGTGGGTATGGCGGAGGCCTTATGCTGCCCCACCTCTTTGTCTCTAGCCGGAGAACATTGTGTTTCAGGAAGCTTCCGTGGACTCGCCCGTGAAGATCATCGACTGGGGCTTTGCCAAGCTGACTGATACCCAGCAGACGCTGCAGACACCGCTCTTTACATTCAAGTTTGTTTTGCTGGCCCTCCATTGTGGGTCATCATTGCAACAAACGCAGGGCGGCGCTTGCTTGACAATCATCGTTGAAATGGGGGTGATGGTGTATAGGTTTGGCGCACCTGAGGTTACGGCTCGTCTCAAGTCCTCAGCTCCGGCTTACACATCGGCCTGTGACATGTGGAGTCTTGGTGAGGACACGCGTGGCACTGGGATGGCCGAACGGACAAGCAAGCGTGCTGTGAGACTCTGCGCTTCTAACCTGTGTGAACTGTGTGGCTTCACCTCACCTCGACGTCAGGCGTAATTCTGTACACCATGTTGACCGGCGCGACGCCCTTCGAGGTCCCAGCAAGTATGTAATTCGTCGATCTGGCACGGGAAACTTGCTGACCAAGAGGGCAGAACATTCACGCGGTCGTGGATGACGGGGGCCTTTTTCTTAGATTTTCAGGACGCCGATGCCTGGGACAAGGTCTTGCGCAAGGAGTTACAGTTTACACAGCCCATTTGGCAGGTACGAGTGGCACACGCGTTTGTTGCACCTGCGTGCGCAGCCATCAGGAGGCAGCTACGCGCAGCCCTCTCAATCCTTTGGCGTGGGTTGTTGCAGCACATCTCCGCTGAGGCCAAGCAGTTGTTGCAGCGGTTGTTGTCCCATAATGCGCACCTGCGGCCAACGGCAACATTGGCGGCTCGTGACCCATGGTTGACAGAGGCGGCGCTAAGCAACCAGCCTCTGCCTTCACCTGCCATCCTGGCGAAGGAAGAGACGGCGGGGCGGGGCAAGCGAGGCATTCTTGCAGCCAACGTTGCAGCCCTCTCGGATGCTTCCCGGGTAAGCTTGACGCATGTGTTTGTGTGGGGGAAGGATGTGTACGCACATGTCTAATAAAAAAAAAGGAACAACAACCAAAAGCTGTGACGGGAACAGGCGCTCACGTTCAAGTCTTCTGGACCGGGTGGGTGTAGCTGGCTCCAGTGGAGGACGCCAAGCTCGCCAAGCGTCGCAAGCAGCGAGACAAGTCTACTTCGAGCGTTTCTAGCGCTTAGCCTCACTGCCACTGAGATGTGAACCGTCGACGTGCTTTTGGAACGGGGACGGAGTAAGCCCTGGCATCAGACAATTGAAAGAGTGATAGCTCTAGCGTTTCACTGGCTGATCAAGCGCAGTACTCGACAGAAGAAGGCATGAGGATACAGGGCATTAAACAAGGTTTGATAGCTGATGCAAACGAAAATTGAATTGGGTCGGCGCTTGCCAGGGCTAGGCTCAAGAACAAAGGCACACGTAAAAAAAGAGAAAGAGCGGGAAAAGAAAGAATTGGGATCAAAGCACACGCAACAAGGCTGTGTGGGAGCAAGCTACACGGGACTCGGGTACACAAGCTACGATGTGCATGTGTGGACGCAAGACAACTTTGCGTACGCAACGGCAGGCACATGTCGAGCAGACGGAATTGGCGAAAGAAGCGATAGCAGCAGCCAAGTCAACCGGACTCAGTCCAGTCGGCGAGGCGCGCTCATCGGCTCCAGCCTTTGGCTCATTGGCAATGGCGACGAGCCGGGGTTGCCGCAGCGACCAAGGCGACAGTAAAATGACAGAACGCAAACTCAAAAATTAAAAGGATGAGAAACAAAACAAATGGGGCGGCAGGGGAGAAGCAACAAGAAGAGATGGCGATTACTATAGAAACATGGCGCAGTCATGCACAAGCACACACGGACACAGGCATGCACAAGCACGGCTGTCTGGTGAATCATTCCGAGCCAAAACAGCGAGCGAGTGCGTCAAACAAAGGAGGCTGTTTCAAGATAAAAAGTCCTCAAGAGGTGTTGAACACGGGAAAAAGAAAAACCTCAAAACAAAAGCACGCAGGAGAGCCCTCAGGTTCCAGACACGGAAAGGAACGGCAGGCGAAGGGGAAAGGAAAGCATCAGAGGGGCGAGACGAAAACAAGGCGGCTCGAAGCACAGGCGCTGTCCCTTCAAAAGGTCTCAAAGGAACTGGGTTCATAGGTGGTGGGGCGGCACGTCCGTGATGGGGGCAGCGGTTGATTCTTGTGTTGAGCCTGCGCTTTGCGGCGCGTCAAGATGTCACCTTGTGAAAGGTGATCATGGGAGGACGAGCCGCGTTCACTTTCGGGAATGTAGTTGGCAGCACCAGTGTGTGCCGATTCAAGGGCCGAGGCTGAGTCATCGGGGAAGATGGAGGGGATAATGTCGCTAAGGGCGCGAGCGACGGCCGAGAGGCTGGTGTGGCCGGCATCTTTGGTTGGGGTGGTCGGTGCGGTAGCATTTTCATCTTTGGACGCGGAGGTGACAATGTGGAAGGCGGCAAGGTCGGTGATGGCTGCGAGAGGGCGATCTGCCTCGCCTTTGCGCTTCGCGGTGGGTGGGGAGGCGAGCCACATGTCAGCTTGGTGGTTGACCAGGTAGGTTTGCTGGGGGCCGATGACGGAGCCGGGGCGGGCAATGCGGAGCCAGGCGATGGTTTCGGGGGCGTTGAAACGATAGTGCTTCATCATGTAGCAGCCGATGAGGGAGCCGGTGCGGCCGAGGCCGGCCTTGCAGTGGACCACGGCCGTGCCGGTGCACTTTTCGGTGATTTCGAGAAAGCTCTCCAGAATGGCGGGCGGGGGGCAGGTGCCGTCAATGAAGAAGAGATCGTGGTGGGCAAAGCCAGCCTGGGTAAACTTGGTACGGTCATACATTTTCTTGTTGAGGCGGACAATGTCCGTGACACCCAGGCGGCGGAAGGGTTCGAAGAGGTTTTCGGGGGCGAGGTGGGTGTAGCCGTCATCGACGTGGCGGGTATTGTGGGGACCAGCCAGGGCGATAAATTTGTTGGGGATGATGGTGGTAAAGTCACCGTTTTCCACTCGTTCGAAATGGTCGTACGTGTCAAGATCAAAAGTATGGACGTCGATAAACCCGTTGAGCAGGGCTTGGTAGGCGCCTGAGATGACGTATCGCACGTGGAGCTTGTAGAGTACTGGGGCATACGAGGCGTCGCGAAAGGGTGCAAAGGGCGGTTTGGCCGTGTCGAGGCAAGCAATGGCCTGCTCATCTGTCATGTTCAGACACCAGACGGCGAAGAGGCCAATGAGGGCAGCAGCGTTGCTGCGAACCTGCATGTCCGTGCCGGTGCAAAAGTAGATGCGCTGATCTTTGTGTTGCGGTTGCTGGAGAGAAGGAGAACGCGGAGAACGGGAGGGGGGTGCGCAAAATGAGGGGGCGAAGAAGCGGATATGAATGCCACATGCCAAGAACAGGATCGGCAGGCGGTGGCAGAGGAGCGGGGGCTTGGATCGGCTTGGGCCATGAGCCGCACCTCGAGGAATTGCCAGAGTTTGCGGCAGAAGCGCACACTCGTGCTCAGGTTGAAGGGGCCAAAATCGGCACAAAACCTAAACAAAACGACAGGGAGCAGGTCCGAGAAGAAATCGAGCCAACCCGCACATGGTGAGGCCAAAAGGCTGGGGAGATGGAGCCGAGTTGCGGGGCGCGTGTGTAGCAGGACGGGACACGAACGCTTCGTATTTAAATTCAGAATCGACGGTGAAGAAGAAGGCCTCTGGTGTGGACGGGGGCAATTGGCGAACGGTGGCAAAGTAGAGGCGGTCTGCGGGAGCGTTCAGCAAGCAGCAGGGACGTGAGACAAAATGCAAGCACGATTGGCACGAGCTTCCGTGTTGAGAGGGGTGACGGGGGAGCGGGGACCCAAGTGCGCACCGGGCACGATGACGCAGGCATTGTCGATTTGTCGCTGCTGAGTGGTCGCCTCCGAGGACATGTTGGCGGTCGGGTCACTGTCGGTGTCAATGTCGGCGACGGCGGTCGCAAGATCGGTCAGATGATTGAGGGGATCAACGGCAGCGGCCGAAGGCAGCGACGATGGCGACGATGTCGGGTTGGGTGAAATGGCAGCCGGCTCACTCGCCGAGTCTGGCGCGGAGATGATGCTGTGTTTGCTTGTGTTGATGGCAGGGAGGGGTGCAGGGAGCTCAATGGCCGAGGGGACAAATGGCAGCGGCAAGCTCAAGTGACCAGGGGCAGTGGGCGAGTGGGAGGGAAGTGCGTGGGCACGAAGGCGATCCTTGCGAGGGCGGCGACGACGATGGCGACCGCCACCTCGATTCCGTGTGGACGGTTGCGCTTGCTGGGAGCTGGTGGCAGCGGGCTGATCAAGTGAAGCAGCACCACGCCCACGACCACGACCAGGGCTGTGACCACGACCTCGTCGGGGTTGACCTTGCTTGCTCTTCGGGTCTGCGATGGCGCCGGCGGCGTTGCTTGTGTTGTGACGCTTGGTGTGTGTTTGGAGGCGACCAATGTTCTTCTTGTTGTTCTTGTTCTTGTTGTTGGAGGCGGTCGTGCTGGTGGTGTTGTTGGTTATGCTGGTCGTGCCAGTCGCCGTGGTGTCCATTGGAGGTGGTGTGTGTGTATGTGTGTGACCAAGACCAAGAGGATAACAGCAGCACGATGGGCGAATAGCAGCAGCAGCAAGCGGCGTCAAGCGGCAGCAAGCGGCAGCAAGAGGCGTCCAGCGTCAAGCGCACGCTACACTATTGGTTTGGGGACGCGCTCAGGAAGAGTCACAAGCGGGTGGGGTCTTGACACTGTGGTGACCGCAAAGGGCGCAAGCAAGAACCTTAAGGAAGCCAAAGGAACCTTAAGGAAGCCAAAGGGGAAGGAAGGGGCTTGGGGCTGTGTGTGTGCTTGCGAATGTGGACGCTCCGCTCCGCTTGGCTTGGCTTGTGGGGTGGTTGGGTCGGTCTTGCCACGCGCAAACGGTCTTAAGCGGTTTTTATGCGTTATCAAGCGGTATCAAGCGGTGTTAAGCGCTTGGGGATTTGTTTTGGAGTCGTCTCTCGGCGTTGTATGGTCTTCATGATGGTGTGGTTGCTTGGTGGTCGGCGCGGTTCTGGCGGATGATCGTAGCCCGGCTTAGATGTATGTGTTAGCCAATGAGCAAGCGGGCGCATGGGGCAGGGGGTCAGATCAGGGTGCTGCCGTTTGAGCAAGAGGGTGTTTTGTTATGACAACCGACCTTGGCAGCGATAGGCGGCAGAGAGGTCGTAAACACCCTCGCGAAAGAAGAGATGAACAGGAAAGCCTCGCCATGAGCAGCAAGGGAAGGCCAAGCCCGCTACGGCCGTGCGTTTTCGGAACAAGCGCCGCGCTGCCGTTTCCGACCCTCGCTCTCATAGGAAACGTTGCGTTGAGTTATGGCGCTGGCGCGCTACTTTACAACAGCAGATTACAACGGCTTTTAGCACATAAACACATGTTTTGAACTATAACGTACAACAAATCATCCGAGTCTTGACATTGGCTGATTAAAACAGTGTGATCCATGTTACACTTGAGTTGGGTTTGTATTACATCATTCATTCCTGGAGGAAGCAGAGAGGTGGCCTCATCGTAGCATCCAATTGAGAGAGCCTGCGAACCTGCATGCAAGTACTTCTCTGATTCGCCTTGAGGTGGCCCTTTATTCAGAGACAAGGGGCGATGGATAACACTGACTCAGAGATGTCCCAGCCCCAATGTCAAAGGCTGTGACAACGTTGACACGATGATGTCGCAACACAGAGAGAGAGAGAGAAAGAGAGAGAGAGAAAGAGAGAGAGAAGCAGGACTGCAGCTTCCTCAGAGATACAACGTTTCATCGATACATCTAGCAAGATCTTACAGCGGCAACGAGTGGTCGTCCAGAGATCAACAACAGCTCCGAGAGAGTAGAGAGATGTGTATGTGAGTGTGTCATTTCTTTTGAGCGTTTAGATCGAATCAAGCTTTGGCAGCGCCATCGGCGACCATTCCCGGGGGACGTGTCGGTCCATCTCCTCTCTCTCTCTTTCCCTCCCCCCTGTCTTCCCAACCTCCCCCTCTCCCTTTCATCGTCTTCAGTCTTGGTCTTTTGGACGGGCATTGCATCATCTTTTCTGCGACTACACGGACCGCCTCCAGATCAAAACATTGGAAAATGGCAGCGTCGTGCAAGCTGTCTCTGCTGGCGTTGGTTGCGTACGTTCATCCTTCCATCGCCCGCCGTGCAACATCTGCTTAGTCTTCTTGCCTGCCAGTTTGGTTCCCTCCCCCCGCGGGGTCCACCTCCGTTTTGGCGCGCAACGCTCACATCAAACGGACTGTCCTCTTTTCTTGCCCTTGTCGTTGCTGTAGCATTGCCGCTGGTGCATCGGCCATGGTGCTGCCGCAAACGGCCCGCCTGGCCAACGGTGGCTTTGACTACAACATTGCCCTGGGCTCGGTCAATCTGAGCGCCGCCGCTTACTGTGATCCCTCTGTCATCAAGGCCTGGAGCTGCCCCCCCTGCGTGGGCACTGGTCTCGCCCTCGATGTACGTCCCGGCGATAGGTTCAGCCCCGTTCGGCCCAACTCTTCCTCCGGCATCTCAGTGGCTGGCCCGTCACTGTGGCTTTGTTCTGTTTTTTTTTTTTTTATTGATACTTTTTTCTTCTTCTTCCCTCTCTCTCTCTCTCTCTCTCTCTCTCTTTCTCTCTCTTTCCTTCTTGCTCACCTGATCAGCATGCTATCGCGCCTTCCCTTAGGTCAAGGACGTGTTCCACGCGAGCGAGACTGACACCAACGGCTACATCGGCATTGACGAGGCTGGCAAGCGCATCATTGTCGCCTTTCAGGGTACCCACGACCTGACCCAATGGATTGACGACCTCGACTTTTTCAAGGCCGATCTTCAATACCCCGGCGCCTCGAGTGACGTCAAGGTTCACAGCGGCTTTTACAAGGTACGATCCATTGGCTCTAGCAACGCGTCTTTTGAGGCCTGGCTGGTACCTCTATCCTTGTCACTCACGCCTCGCTCACACCTCGTCTTGGCTCTTGAATAGGCTTACCGCCAGGTCAAGCAAAATGTGGACCAGGTCGTCAACCAAACCTTGTTCAACAATCCCGAGTACACCATCCTGGTGACCGGCCACAGCCTGGGCGCTGCCCTCGCCGCCATGTGCTCTCTCGACCTGTCCATCGGCCACCCGCAAGCCCGCATCCTTCACTACACCTACGGCCAGCCCCGTGTTGGCAACCAAGCCTTTGCTCAATTTTATGAGAGCCATAACCTTGCCCAGCACTACCGCATGACCCACAACGAAGACCCCGTCCCCCACCTTCCTCTCGAATCCATGGGCTTTTATCACATCTCGACCGAGGTCTACTATGGCGAGAAATTTGAAGGCCAGAGCTCTCTCAAGGTCTGCGATGGCAGTGGCGAAGACCCCAACTGCTCCAACCAGCACTGGACCGATCTCAAAGGTGCGATCTTGTGCGATCTTCGTGCCCCACCCCCAGAGGCCCCACCATACTCACACCCTCTTTCGCCATGCGCCCTGTTTTTACCACACCACCTCACGACGCTTTGTTGCTTTTCGTCTCGCAGTCTCTGATCACCTCAACTACCTGGGTCAAACCCTGGACACGGACGCCTGCCACGCTTAGGCGCATGTCCCTTCACACACATACACACCCACCTTTTTGGGGGGGGACCTTTTTATTGTCCACGCTTAGTCTAGCTCGAGTAGGGCGTGTTCGCCCTCTCCCCATCCATTTTTTTTATCAACAGGTTTCTCTTTCTTATTCCTTTCCCGTGGCAATTGATCTTGTTCCACCCCACTTCGTACATCAGCTGAGGCTTTGGCATATGTGCCCCTCAAGTCCCTGCAGTCGTTGCAAGCAGACAGCCGGCAAACATGCCTTGTGCCTTGTCTGTGTAGTTGGTCGCCAGCCAGTGGGTTTCGACAATGCCAGGCTGCAAGTATGAAGCGTCCTGGCACCCGACCCAGTCGTACTCGGGACTGCTTCATGGAGCATGCGCATGTCCATTGGGACAGCCCTTGATTCAGGTGCACCATCAATAGGGCCAGCCCTTCTCTGCGTGGCGTGCGGCGCGCGGCCACCTAATCCCTTCGGCCCGAGTGGGCTGGGCTGACTCAATTGTTTACAGACCGCGTTGTGTTCTTGACGAGACGTGCTGGGCACCACAGATCGATGAGCAGTGCAAAGTTTGACGCAACCCAACGGCCCGTAAACGCGTGCGAGTCGGCAAGTTGGATTGATGTCAAGCGTGGACCCACGCTCAACTCTTCTTTGAATCTGTCAGACCAGGCCGCATGGCCGCTTGCAGGTGTCCTGAGCCTCGAGTAATTTGACTTTCAACGTTTCAATTTGAAGATTCGCTCGTTCAGAAGAAGGATGCTTCATGGCTTTCTTCAATTCATCTTCTTCTTGCATTTTTTCTTTTCTTTAAATCGTTGGAATGCCACCATCGACCGAGGTCGCAGAGAAAGGGTCGGCCGCGGATACACAATGGGGAAGCAAAGATGCTTCAAGACTAAAATGGGGTCGACCTGCGTACACACGGACAAAAATACACAAGGACATCAAAGTCTGCCACGACTCACAGCCCCACATCGGGCAAGTCTTCGTCGTCATCATCTTGTCGATCTGTTGCACACGGCGGCAAAGGACAGCGCGCAGAGGAAGGCCGGTGTGAATCATCAAGCAGCGCCGTCGTGTTGATATGGCCTGGAAAGAAACGGGGATATGGTTGACGAGCAGTTCAAGAACGTACAAACATCTTCTGGGTCATCCAGATCGTGACGTGAGGTTGAGCGCCCAAGGTGGGTGCCAGTGCCATCAAAGTCATCTGCGCTGCCGTCATTGCCCCCATCTTCACGGTTCAGACGCTCGCACTCATCGAGCCATTCGGTGTAAACATCGATGGGTTCTGTCAAATCTGCATGGTCAATCATTGTTGTCGTGGCTGCTCGTGAGGGGAGGTGATGATGCATCTGTGCCGACGCTCCAGTTGATAAAAGACGGAGACAAAAAATCGTCAAAGCAGCATGGAACACCAGCCAGGGTCTGTGCACCTACGATGGATACGGGTTTGGAAGCTCTCGTTGCAGACACGGCAGGTGACAGCGCCCACTTCCTTGCGAAAGCGGCTATCAACAATGTATGAACCGACGTGAGAACAAAGGTGCAAGAAAGTTGACGTGACGTGAGCGAAATGAGGGTCTTGGGGTGTCAAGGCCTCAAACAAATGAGACCGAGCGGGCAGCCGAGGCCAGGTACGCACAGAACAACATCGCAGGCCTCCTCGTTGTTACAAAAAGGGCAGGGAAAGACGGTTTGCAGCTTGCCTTTTACACACCAGCCCCAGAGGTCATGGAATAAGTTGTTGATCAACGCAGGAGAGACAGGCGAGCAAAGGGCTGATACCAACCAGCCGTTTTCTTGGGCGGCGGCTTGCGATTGGACTTGCGACGACCCATGTTGTCCCTGCGAGATGAGCGAGACCGATGTCATGAGTGGTCTGTATCCTAGGTCACAGAGTGAGGATAGAAGGCCAGGCACGCCAAGCACGCCAGCCAGTCACTTGCAGCTGGTGGCCGGCGCTGTCCACACCATGCCAGCCGAAACCCTGATCGTCCCACCTTTGATTAATACCGCCCGCGTCAAACTCCGACACACACACACACACACAACACACACACACTCTGTCTCTCTCTCTGCGCTGACCTCTCGTTCGCGCAAAAAACGGTCAAAACGGAGCAAACTACTGTTTTGGACAATGTTCCCGAGTCACTTTTCTGTGTGTGTGTGTGTGTGTGTGTGTGTGTGTGTGTGTGTGCCCTAAGGACTTATCGCGCAGCTTGCTCGTTGCTTGCCAGCTGTCTGTCTGTCGGACCGCGGACCGCCTGTCTTGTCGTCGTGTCGTGTCGTGGCGTGGCGTGGCTTGGTGTGTCTCTTTCTACTTTTGTCTCCTGTCTCGAGCTCTGTTGGTTTGCTTCTCTCTTCGTGTATGTTGTATGTTTCATAAGGACGAATGAGAGATGTCAGTTGGAAGTAGAGGGGCAGCAGCCATAAGACTTTTGCTGGACTTGAGAAAAAAACAAAAAAAGGTCAGATGGCGAGATGGCATCTGCCTGCTGCAGTCGAGGCCAAGCAGCCCGACTCACCCCGCCTCAAACAGCGTGCCGGTGGACGGACAACGGAAGCAAAGGCATCAACACACGTGGGGTAAGCAAGGTTGAATGAATGGCCTGCCAGAAGGAAGCAGGGTGCTTGAAGGGTTTAGGCTGCTTGGCAGGCTGGGTCGCAAGAGAGCTTGCAGTTGCGCTTCATCCACTTGGCATTGTTGACGCACTCGCCCTCTGCCGAGGTGTGGCCTGGGGTGGCCCAGTCCGTGCACTGGCGATAGAGGTTGGTGCAGGGAATGTTGGCTTTCTCCAGAACCTGGCACTGGCCGCAGGAAACCGGGCAGGCCTTGTTCATAAAGTCGGGATTCTTTTGGCACTCGCCGATGCTGTGGCGGCCGCCATAGCCGGTCTCACCGGGGCGCGCCCAGTACTCACACTTGGGATCTGTGTCAACGCAGGTTTGTTCCACCTCGGCTGGTAGGCGCATCTTGACAATGACGTCAGGGTCTTCAACTTGGCCACCGGGTGAGTGCGGCTTGGCCTTTTTGAGTTTGTTCACGGCGTCAAAGCCACCCAGGACCTGGCCCCAAACCGTGTAACGATGGTCCAAGAAGCCGTTGTGCACATACATGATGCTAAATTGCGAGTCGGCGCTGTTGGGATCGTTGGCGCGAGCCATGTTGACTGTGCCCGTGTGGTGGGAGCGATTGTTAAACTCGGCGTCGATGGTGATGCCCGTGCCACCGTAGCCTGTGCCGCATTACAAACACGATTCAGAGCAAGCGACGGCCGGGGCATGGAGACGTGAGCGGGTTGACGGGTCGACGGGTTGACGGGTTAACGGGTTGACAAGTTAACGGATTGACGGGTTGGTGGTGTGGTGAGACAGGGCAAGGCAAGAGACTCAAGAGAGCACCAACCTTTGCCCAGTGGATCACCGGCCTGCGCCACGAACCCTTCCATGACGCGGTGCCAGACAATGCCGTCGTAAAAGCCGGCCTTGACGAGCTCGGTAATGCGCTCCACATGGCGGGGCGCGTACTCGGGGTAGGTTCGGATCACAATACGACCGTGAATCGTGTCAAGGTAAATCACCTGCCCATCCATCCACAGCACCCGATAGGGTGAGCCATTCAAGAATGCACAAGAGGCTGGCAGGAAAGCATTGTGCAAGCACGCAAACAAAACGCAGGGCCACGCTGCGAGCTCAAGCTAGCACTGCACTGGAGAAACACGCGAGAAGGAGGGCCACATCCCCTCAAGATCAGAACTTTCAAAAAGACTCGGCGACAAACAAACCTCATCCAGCTCTGCAGCGCTGACACGTCCCGAAGAGGCCAGGCAGAGAAGGAGCGCCGCGACGGCCAGGGCCGACATCGCGAAGCGCGACAACATGGTTCCTAGTCAGAAGAGGCAGCGCGACCCCAGACGCAGTTGTGGTCAGCACAAAAGAGCACGAAGAGAGCACGCAGAATGCACAAGCTCAATCAACCTCACACGCCAAGAGAGAGTCTTCTTCAGTGTTCGGCCTGTGCATACCTACCGGTGTGAAGTGATGGAGCGACAGATGGCAGCGGGTGCTGGAAGGAGAAAAATATTTATTCACCGCGCAGCTTTGATGAGGGCTCGAGAGTGAGCCAGAAAGAAGCGAGGCAGGTCGATACGGGCTGGTAGATTCGGAAGCAAGACCGCACTGTGGCTCGAATCGTTTGCCAAGCAACGCAAGGCGGCGCAACGCGACTCGCTCGTAAACCTGACAGACTGACAGACAGACAGACCTGCACGTCCTCGTCGGCACTCTCTCACTCTGATGCAACGAAAAACAAGAAGAGGGAACCAAAGGCAGAAAAAGACCCTCCACACCACACACCAGACAGGGTCGAGAAACTTCGCTTTCGTTCAGATCCCTGCCCCGCTCGTGCAGGAAGGCAAACGAAGCGGCAGAAGGAGCAGGGCACCACGGCGCCGAGGGCACGGCAACGACTCTCTGCGCGATCGATTCAGTGTCCGCACGAATGCTCGTTTGCATGCCACAAAATATAGTCTGACATTGGATAAATACTTTTATTCTACGTTAGGTTGGCACGTAGAAGGGTGAAACACGACATAATGGGGTGGTAAGTAAATAACTTTCTGATACAGCTGGAGGAAATACTTTTTTGTTCACATGTCAGTGAGATGAAAGGGCGTATCGTTCGCCTTTGCATAAAGTAAAATACTATAATACTTTGGAACGAGCGGCACGATTATGGAGAGAGCGACCGCACCGCCTCCATCGCCGCCGCCTCCAGCTGCTGCTGCTTGTGCGTCGCGCTCCATTAGTTTTGATCGTTGTTCTAGGTTTCAACAGGGAGCCAACAGCCCTTGCTTACCGCCCTCGAGGGTGCTGTTCGATTGGATTGGCCGTTGAGCGTCGTTTGTTGTGGTCCGGGGCAAGTTGAGTCTTGGGTCGGTATTCGTCCGTGCCATCATGGCCGAGCCGGCCGGCCCAGCCCCGGTGGCACCGCCCCGTCGCGTGAGTCTATCTTATTTTTAACGCGGCGCCTTGATCAGCTTGGGGGTTGCCTACTCATTGTCTCTTGCTGCGTCCCTGTGCTCGATTTGGCCATTTGTGCAGCGCAAGATCCACAATGCAAGCATTGATAACGCAGACTCGACAGACACTTCAAGCACCGCCAGCACTGCTGACACCACAGATTCCACGGCACCCACCCACACCATCGTCTTGCGCTCGCGGGTCATCACAGATGTCGACAACCAGGGCTTGGTCGAGGCACAGCTCGACACACACACACCCAGTGCCATCCGCGATTGCCTCGCTTATCTCAGCACACCACGCGCCTTGCGCGAGGAAGGCCTCTTCCGTATCCCGGGTGACCAGCGACATGTGCGCCGCCTCTATGAGCTCTTTGAACAAGGTAGGTCTGCACCGGCTCCGCCAACCGTGTATGAGACGCACGATCCATGTGGGGCGCGCGCCCAAACCTGATGAGTGCTGGCGGCTCAACAGGTGAACCTCTACGCTTGGACGAGATTCTGGAGCCCGCCATTGTCTGTGGCCTTCTCAAGCTTTTGCTTAGTACGTTTGGATCCTCGAAATGCTGCATAAGGACCACGAGATGGGCCTCACCCACATGCACGCGTGCGGGTCGCCGCCGCCCGTTTCTCCTTGTTGCTGCAGAGGAGCTCAAGCTGCCCGTCGATGGCACAACACAGCGGCGTCTCCTCAAGGCCGTCGATCAAAGCACCGGACCAAGCCAGAGCTTGCGTCGCTGCCGCAAGTAGGTTCTGCCGTGCCACAAGAACGCACCGCCGTTGATAAGCACCCCGCCCGAGGCTTGAGTGGTGATGAGCCACTTTTCCATTTCTTCCGCCCCTTCGGCCTCATCTTGCAACACGCCACGCCCTTGCCTGCAACGCAGGACGGTCGCTGTCCTCTCGCCTTTTCGATTTGGCATGCTTCAAGCCCTGGTTCTCCTGCTGCGGCGCATCATTGCCACGCCGGGCAACCTGATGACGGCTGCCAATCTGACCACGGCCGTCGGCCCCACCCTCTTTCCCCAGCTACCCATTCAGAAAACGGGTCTTGTCCTCGAGTACTTGGTTGTTTACTATCCAGACATCTTCACCCGCGAGATTGTTGAGCTGGTTCATGCCAACAGCACACGGCCCGCCGACCAAGCTCAGCGGCTCAGCGGTGCCTTTAGTGATGACAACCCCGACCCCGAGGTGGGCGCGCCTGGTCCATCAAGCCTAAGCAATGCTGGATCTGGCAGCGGCTTGGCAAAGCTTCACAACCTTCTCGAGACCCTCGAAACAAAGCGGAAGGTTGCGGCCGCCCCGGCCCCGGCTCCGGCTCCCGTGTCGTCCGGCCCAGCCCCCGTCATGGCCCCCGCGTCAGTCGACCACGGTGACGAAGACTCGGTTCCGGCACCCACCGATCCGACTGTGACCACACTCTATTCCTTTTAAATATGCACTGCCGACTGTCTTGCATACTTTTGAATGCGCGACTAAATCTCGCTGCACGGGGCACAAGATGATGCGCTGGCATTAATTGACAAGAATCGATCGATCGAAACAGGGTGCCTTATTGCGGCAACACCACGCTAGCACCGAGGCCAGTGCACGAGGGGGGGGAGGGGCCCTTCTCGTTAGAGTCCGCGTGACATGAGAAAAGCGCCAAAGGCTAGAGTAAGGATGACTGCTGTGGTGGTGGCGCTTGTTTGATCCTAATCCATACCGTTCCAGCGTCAAGTCAGGGCGCAAGGTGACAGATGAGCAATGAGCGTTCATGACCATCCATCGAATGCATGCCGGCAGCATACCTCCTTGAGCAGCTCTGAGTACTCCCGCCTCCGCTGTTGCTGCACGCGGCGGCGGCGGATAGCCTCACCTGTGCGCCACGCGCCACACACAGGAATTGAGAACAAGTGCAAGAAATGAGTGAGATAGAAAGGCTATGAAAGCCAGTGCTCTTTCTGCAGTCGAGCGAACCATAGTGGTGGCGATAAAACTCTTGAAAGTTGTACTGGGTTTGATAGTCAAGCGGACCCCGTTGCCGCTCATTGCGCATGTGCCCTCCCGTTCCCGAAGCGCCAGGCGAGTCATGGGCAGCCAAAGGGGCACGGCCGGTTCGGTCGTAGGCTCGGCGGCTCACGGGCTGTTCGATGTCACGTACATTGCAGCGCGCGAGCGTTGCAACCAGATGAAAAGGGATGAGTTGGCCGGCGCCGATGGAGCCAGAGACCACAGCAGACCAATATCGCCAAAGCTTACATGGGAGAGGACGGAGTAGGCTTCGCTGATGAGAGCGAAGCGGCCAGCGGTCTCTGGGCTTTCGCCTGCAACGTCGGGATGGTGCATCTTGGACTGCTTGTAGTAGGCAGCTTTAATCTCACGCTATGAAGAGAGCAAGACCGTATCCAACGCAGCAACAGTCGTTATCAAGCTGGAATACTACCGGCAGGGCAAGGCGGGGGCAGCGGAAGCTCACCTGTGAAGCCTCGGGCCGGATGCCTAGGATGGTGTAGTAGTTGACGAGTGCCAGCCCATTGCGGCTCGCATGGAGCCATCGGCGCGATGCAACCACCACCACCGGCCCCGTCTTCAACCACGGGCGGCCCGAGGCCAGCATAGCCATGTCATTAGCAGCCGCCTTCTCTCATCCACTGACCCACCACCTCCAGCCAAGCTCTCCAGCCAGTTTAACTCGCCTCTCGCCTCTGGTACCACCACAGCGTGTGTACACACACACACACACACACGCATACACACAAAAGAAATACATGTAGCACACACACCAGTGAAAACGCGAAAGGGGTTTGCAACAACAACAAAAAATGGCTGACACCTTCATTTGGAGGCAATGCTGCGTGGCTGCTTTGGGTGTTGGTCATGGGCTTGCCCTGGTTCCTCTGCACGAGTTCCTTGGCTCTGCCTTCTCTTTCCTTGGCTCTGCCTTCTCTTTCCTTGACTGGCTCTTCCTTTTCTCTGGTTGTTTCGCTCGAGCTGTTCTGCTGGCTTCAAAAGCACTTTCTGGAGAGTCACAACCACCGGCTCCATGGATCTTCCCCCCACACCTACGGCGAGGCGTTCTTGGGCATGCAGATCACTTTTTTCATTTCGCTTACCCGTATGACTCTACGACTTTAGTCCCATGAAGTGCGCGGGGAAAACGGCCAGTCGTTTGAGTCAATTAGCTTTCGAGACCACGAGAACAAGATACGAAGAACAGTAACAAAAACATCGATGGGACTTCAGGGGGTTGTGGCCACGGGGCGGGACTGCACAGAGGCGAAGAGGTCGGGGAAGCACTTTGATACCTTGCGTGTGAGATAATCACCATAGGCGCCAATTTCGTCTTGGACGACGTTTGCCTGATCCCATCGTTGGGCCCTAGCATCTGGCTCGTCCGATTCCTGTGTTCGAGCAGCCTCTTCGGCAAGCAGGCGCACATTGGGCAAGGGTCGAATCTCGGCTTCCCAGCTGGGGTCGAAGAAAAAGGGGAAGGAGAGGCGATCTCGGCCAGCGGCGTTGCGAACGCGATGCGGGGTCGAGCAAAAGTAGCCGCCCGTGATACGTTCGAGCATGTCGCCTATGTTACACACAAAGGTACCGGGCAGGGGCGGGGCCGCCTGCCAGCCGGTGCGAGTCTTGACCTGCAGCCCTCCGCACTCATCCTGCAGCAGAATGGTCAGCAGGCCGTAATCGGTGTGCTCGCCAACTCCCCAAAGGGCTTCGCGATCGCCATCGTAGTTGAAGCTCTCCGGCCGTGGGTAGTTGAAGATGCGGAAGAGCGGGGTGGGTTCGCGCGTGTAGGATCGCTGAAAGAAATCGGCCTCGAGGCCCAGACTCAACGCCAGCAGCGCCATGATGCGCTGACCTAGGGCCAGCATGGCCTCCAGATATTCCAGCACAACGCGGCGCATGCGCTCATCAGCAAACTGGTTGCGACCATGAATGGGGCGACCAGCTACCACGGCCGGATGGGTCTCTGACAGCTCCGCCCCAAAGTACAGACCCTCCTTGATGTCTGGCTTGCCTGAAGTCAGTTCGTCACCCACCGGGAAGTAACCCCGCCATGCACGTCCACCCTGACGCATATCCAGCCGCATCTTGTCCGCGAGGGGTTGAGCAAAAAAGTCGCGACTCATGGCCTGCAACTCTGAGAGCAAGGCCTCGGACACGCCATGATTGCGCACATAAAAGAATCCTACATGTCGACAAGCCCGTCCCAGCGCCTCGGCCACCTCACGCACTGCCTCCGAATCCAATTCAGCCAGCGGCAGGTCACGTGCCGCTGGCCCCGTCACCGCCGCCAGATCAACGACCGGCACCGCCATGGCGATCAGTCAATCAGGGGAACACGACTACCAAATGTGACTCGCGTCACTCATCTGACATATAATGCTGACATCACAGTTGAGCCGTTGTCAGATAGATTATGAGAAAGTATGACAAATCCTTTCGGGTTGTGGGGGGAGTGGAAAGAACATTGCTGCAAGTCGAGCAAGCGAATACGGTTTTGAGTGCAAGATCCGCTATTTATAGCCAACTTTGTCCCCTAACACCTGAATAATAGGACACAACGATGAAATTTCATGTGTTGGATTCCGGTTCTGTCCGTCAGTGTGTCGGCCCGTCCCTCTGTCCTCTCGTGTGTGTGTGTGTGTGTGTGTGTGTGTGTGTGTGTGTGTGTGTGTGTGTGTGTGTGTGTGTGATCGCCCCTTTGGCAGCGGCTTTGCAGCAACACCCTTCACCACCTCCCTCTCTCCCTCTCCCTCTCTCTTCTCTCTCTCACAACACACGTTGAGCCCCTTTTCTCGTCTCTCTTGCCCTCTCTTCCCCCCTGGTGTTTTCACCCCCCTCCCCCCCCCCCCCTCCCTTCTTCCTCTGCCATCCTTCCTCCCTCCCTCTCCCCCTGTGCGCCTCTTGAACACGCCAATTTCTTGAGCACTCGCACGATTTTCACTCGACGTCAATCAATAAAATAATAAAAAAGCTCGGAATGGATTTGGAGGCTCGGTTCACCCTGTGCTGGGGCATTGCTCTGCAGGCAACGCCGTTTGCCTCCATCGAGGAGGTATGCCCGGTGACTCAGTCTTCCCGTCCTCCCCCCTTGCAAATCGATGGATTGCGAGCTGACACGCTCGATCCATCCATCATTCCCAGACGGTCGCGCTCACCTGACCTTTTGTCCCTCAGGCTTTCGCTCACTTGCGCAGCCGAAACAGCTGGCCACATCCCCTGCATTTTGTCTCGGCTCGACCCTCTTTCCGTTTGCACACAACAACAAAGGAGTACGATGCCGCTTCTCGACTTCTTCGCTCCGTTTGACGTTGTCTGACCCAACTGCAACCAGGGCTCTCTGACCTTGGCAGACAGCTATCTCACCAACGTTTGTGTCAACCCGATAGCGAGGATCATCAAGACAAGAACACGCATGCCCCCCAAGAAGATCTCCCTCAAGACCAACCTGTGCAGACAGACATTGCCGACCCTACCGTCGCGCGGGCTGGTTACGTTACCGCCGAGCTCAACGTTGCTGATACGCACACAGACATGTCCGGTCCCATCGCTGAGCTCACCACCGCGGTGGCTGATTACCTCGGCTTGCCACGCCACCTTCGCGAGCCTAACGAGGATCCGGTCGCGCCGCTGCGCGGCATCGAGCTCCTCTTCACCATGCCCTCGCCCTGCCCTCTCGCCTCGCATCCCACCGACAACCTTCGTGACCTGACTCTTGAGCCCGACGACAGCCCGGATGCTCTTGATGCCGCACAAGCTCTGCTCGAGGACCAGGGTCTGCTGATTCTGGACTGCCGAAACATGCATGATAGCGCTGGTGATCTTGCCCTTTTGCCCCTGCAAGAGCTCAACACTCGTGCCATCGCGCGCATCGATTGGGCCGATGCCCTCCTACGCAAGCAAGGCATTGACGTGGGCGAGGAAGCCTTCCGTCGCCGCGAAATGTCGTCGCGCTCCCGACAACGCTTTGACCTCCTCTTTGATGCCGACGATCTCTTCATTGCCCATCTCGCTGCCACAGCTCCTTGGGTGCCCATCATCAAACACCTTCTCGGTTGGTACAGACCCACCGCAATACGCCTACACCATGTCAAAAGCGCCCGATTAACTGGAATTACGATTGCGTCTCAGGTGTCGACTTCAAGTGCCAAGTGAGCGTCGTCTACTCTCGCCCGGGAGCTGAGGAGCAGACCTGGCATGCTGACGGGCCTCATATCAGCCATACCGCCGACTGGAATGGCCGGTGAGAGTTTTCAACGCCTGCCTACCCCACCTGATTCTTTCCCATCTGTTGTTGTTTAGATCACTCATGGAATGGTTGCCCGGGGGGGTTTTTCCCATCCGCACTTGTTCTGTTGACAGTGGCGCCTCGGCACCCTATGCCCTCTGCGTCTTTTTGCCCCTCATGGACCTCGACCGGACAGTCGGATTCACTCAATTCTGGCCGGGCTCCCACAAATATGATTCCCTCCTCGGTATGACCACAAATGAACACACACACCGTCATCCTCACCTTCATCCACCTTACCGTCATGGACGAGCGTTTGTCACTCACGCCTACCCATCAGGTTTTGGACACGCCTGTACCCTCACAGAAAGCACCCTCGACGGTCTGGTCTCGCTCGGCCACGCCGTCATGTATGACTATCGCACCATTCACCGAGGTGGGTGTTAGAAAGATCCTTCCCCATCCCCTCCCTCTCACCATCTTTGCCCAATCTCGAGACTTTGTGGTATCTTTCTGTCGTATTACTGACAAAGTGGCGCTATAGGTATGCCCAATACGAGCAAAAATACCCAGCGTGCCCTCCTGCAATTTCTGTATCATGTGCCGTCTTATGCAGAGGCTCGCAATTACGGCACACAATCGCTACTGGACGTGTTCTAATCACTTGCACCCACTCACACTCACGTGGCTTGGTAGCTGAGCTACCCTCGTTATATCCACCGTCTTCAATCGAAGCAAAGAGTCAGAAACATTTGCCACAACCATTCGTCCTTACCATTGCAAGCACCTCAAGTTGGCAACCCATGTCTGGTCATTTCCATTTCCCTCTCCACTCATGTGACTCGACTGCTGAGTGCTGGAAAAATAAGTTTTGCTGCCATTGTGTTCTCGGCCAGATCACTATCACACTCATTCACAAATTCTACACTCAACACACACCCGCACACACAGCCAGGTGGGGCTGTGGTGAAAATCACACAAAATATCACGGGCGAGCACGCGGGGCCGAAAAACGGAGGCGCTAAGGAATACCGGTGTCAACCAGTTTCTCGAATTTTGTCAGGCGATAAAAACGAAACAAAGATCAGATGCGCTGGCATCTGGATGCAAGCATGGCTTGTGTACAATCACGACCAAAAAAAAAACAGTTTGGCGGGCCACAGAAAACAAACCGAAAAAACAAACCGAGCAAAGGTAAAAAGCACACAAATTGTCAGCCCTAACGCCAGGGGCACATATTCCCTTTCATCAAATCCGCCCGGTTTATCTTGCTGGTGCCGAATGTGTTCATTGCTTCTTTTGAGCCGCACGATGTTGCTTCTTGCTCATGCGTCGCAGCTTTGCTGCTGAAACCGGCTGCAAATCACACCAAGCACACACATGAGGTCGCTCCAATGTACAAAAGGCCAATGTGGAGCAAGCGCCAGCTCTGCCAAGCCAGGACGTACACCCTGGCCGCCCTGTTGCAATCGCATGTTCTTCAAGCGATTGGCTTCCTTTTGCTCGCGTTTTGCCTTCAAGCGCGCGCCTCGCTCCTATGCAGCATAATCACATGGCAATCCATTGAGCACTTTGTTATTGACGCACCAGCTTTCAGACCACCAAAGAATTGGAAGAGGAAAAAAACGAAAACAAAAACCGTGCCGGCACATCAAGCGGTGCCACCAAACATAAATAGAATCGCACACCTGTTGCTGGCGCTTGGTCTCCTCCTTCATCTCTTTCTCTTGCGCATCGAGAAGCTTTTGCTTTTGGCGCTCAGCTGCTTTCTTGGCCCACGCCGTCCCTGATATGGACTTGTGGTTGGCTGAGAACCGTCTGTGGAGCAAAAGGGCCACCTTGAATTAGATGACTGGTAGAAGGCGATCGAGCGCAGCTCGGAACTCGAGTACAGCCACCAGCCCGCCCTCGGCCTCTGCGCTGTGATGATAGTTAACAGCCAGACACAGAGCCAAGATCCCTCTATTCAGCTCTATCCGCCCCTCTCTCCCATCCCCACTCCTACAGCCCGACCCTGGTGGTCTTCCAAAGAGTGCGTCGGGCGGCATGGCTCAAAGAACTGACTCGGATTTGACAGCCTTCCAGATCCGGCCAGACTTGGGTCGGCCTCGACCTTGCGCTTGCTCATTGGTGAGGGCGTCCAGCACCATGATTTTGTGTCGCTTGACTACTGGAGCACCCTCAGTTGTCTCCACGCTCTGGCAAAGCAGTTTCTGTGAGTGAGGGTCTGCTCAGACCCCGCAGCTTTGAAGACAAGCCAGAATCAAACACATGCACGCATGCCACTTCAATAAAAAGAGGAACAAGATCCTTAACAGCATACCTCGACCTGTGGCTCCTCCTCGGCTTGCGTCTTGTCTTCAACCAGCGGCTTCTCCACGACCTGCTCCTCGGCCTGCTCCTCGACCTTCTTGGGACTCTTGGCTGGCGACTGAGCCGTGGCCTTGCTTCGCTTGGCCTGTTGATCCAAAACCAGCCACTCATGAGCCAATAACATCCACCACACTGCTAGTTTTACACCAGCCAACACCACGCGCCAACACCTCCCGCGCTCCCCCGCCCCCGCTATGGTTGCCACACTCACACGCGCCATGATGATTTTCTCGAGTCCAAAAAAAAAAAAAAATGAGAGAGAGAAACACACGCGGTCAATGTCAGACGATTTGTCTGACGTTTTGCTGGGATTTTTTTTTTTGAAGCTGGAATAGGGAAGGGTGACGGCAGGTCTGGTTCGTCTCGCCTCAAGCCTCGACTAACATGGTTGAGTTTGAGTTGTATGGTTTGATTGATTTTTTTTCTTTTTAAGAGTAGGTGAGAGACGATCAACAAAGACAAGGACAAGAAGAGGGAAGGAAACTCGAAAATCGGTCGTCCCACAGGTTCTCGTACACCAAGCATCATCTTTGATGATTGCTGGTGCTGGCTCGCTGAGCCGGAGAAACACAAGGCGAACAATTCAAACACGCATGGACAAGGATTCATGAACAAAAAGAGTCCAAAAAAAAAAACAAATAAAAAAAAACTGGGGATCAGAATGAGTAACTCTGTCCAGGGTACATGACACCAGAGCATATGTGTTCCCCAGACCCCGCACATATGCCTCATTTCTCATGCGCGGCCAGAGGTTGCGTTCGGAATAGAGATGACTCAGAAGACAAAATCAGCCTCGGCCATGTCCATGGCCCAACGAAATTTACGACGTTGTGTCTTGTTGTAAACCTACGTCGTACGCGGTCAGCAAGCGCCGTGGTGAGCAGAGGAAACTCAGCCAGCGGTGAGAGCTGTCAAGAGCAGCGACAGCCATTTGACGGCGCACCTTGTCAACAGGCACGTCGTGCGTTTTGCACCAAGCGACAGAAATGCGAGGGTCCAGATAGTTGAGCTTGGAGGTACTCAAAGCGATGCATTTGTTCTCCTCCTTATCCACCTGCATGTCCGACATCGTTGTGGCCATTATAACAGCAGGCAAGCCAAAGGCGCATGGTGCATGAGCGCGTGCTGATGAATGTAGGCCGGCCAAAAACCAGACATGCCTCACGGCACGGGACCACACACCTTGGCAATTTGCTTCTTGTGCAAGCGCTCTTCCAGGCGATCCACCTTGCGCTTGAGCACGTCCAATCGGTTGAGATCAGTTTTGCTCACGTCTGACCCTTGCGCACGCAGGTCCTTCTTGAGCTTTTTGCGCTCCTTGATGGTGCTGTCCAGCTCCTTCTGAATCTTGACCAATGCCTCATCCAAACGCTCCATCTGCTCATCGTGCGTCTTGGGCGCGGCACGTTGATGGTTGCAAAGAATAGCCACGGCGCGGTTGGCACGTTGGTAAGCAAGTAGCTTCTCCTCGACTGTCCCACCGGCCGGCGTTGACTTGAGTTGGTCTTGTAGCGTGATTGAGGCATTGTAAGTACGAAAGACCTTGGCCGTGAGGCCGTCCATAAGTGACTGCAGATACTCGTTGAGTTGTTGTGTCTGCGCAATAAGAATAAGTGGGGGTGTAAGTTGGCACCAAACGAGCCGCCGGCATATGCAAGACAGCGAGCCAACGACGGCATCCAAAGCACAGACAAGAGAGGAGAGGGGCAGCAAGGGGGGAAGTGAAACGCACACGAAGGCGGTCAAAGAGCTCATCCCCGGGCTCCTTGCTCTTCTTGAAATGGCCCACGTTCTTCCAGACTTGATGGTCGACCTTGACCTGGTTCTGATAACGGATGGAATCCTTACCCAGAAAGTCAAACACGAGCTCATCCCCGGGCAAAAGCTCCAAGTGCTCGACGCGCAGGCTGCAGCAACCCACTACGTAAACACGCAAGCCACGATCCAAACGTCAGGTGGTGAGTCACATGCATAAGCGACAATAAAGCAGCCAACGAGGGACATGCTGATGGGAGGCACTAAGCTCAGAGAACACCAGTTCTCTTTGAGGCTTGTGCAAAACAAAAAGCAGGGCACAAAGACGCACCAGTATCAGCCTGTTCCTCGGCATCTTTTTCGCCACCGGCACGAAGGGCGAGCTTGTCGATAAAATACAGCGCCGTGGCACGCTGACGCTCAAACATGAGCTTGCTTTTCAAGTCACGGGTGTAGTCGCGGCGAATCTTGTCCACGTGCTCCTTGAGCTTGCGCGCGGTTTCATACTTTTTCCAGTCGTTGCGACCCTGCAAAGCAAGTCGAATGGGGATGGAGAAAATCATTAGGTTCTGCGCAAAGAGGGATCAGCATAAGCAGGCCTCGTCGCGGGGTAGAACCTTGATGTGTGTATCGGCGCTCAACATGATATACTTGTTTTGATCTTGAATGTTTTCCTTCCAGCCGGCCAACCAAGTGACGGTGTTGTCGTGCTTGACCTCCTTCCATTTGTGACCAGCAGGCGGCTCTGGCACCTTGTCCTTGGGACCCACGTTGATGATGACATCTTCAGGCATCACACGTAGCTTCAGCTTGCCCATCTTGGGGTGCTCACCGCGCCCTTGGAACAGACCTGAGTTCAAGCGGATGTAACAGGTAGTCAGGGAAAACAAAAAAAATAAAAAATAAAAAAGGCGGGGAACATGGCACACAGGACACAGAGGAGGTCTGAACGAGACGAGACAAAAGGGATAGAGGTACCTGGGGGTTCAATGCGAAAGTTGCCAATGGTGACCTTGCGACCATCCATAAGAGCAAAGCCATACTCTTCCTTCAGTTTAGCTTCGGCTTCTTTGCGCTTTTCCTTCTCCTCCTTGCTGGCTGCTTTGCGTGCTTCGGCGCGTTGCTGATAGTGACTCTGTGCGCGCAAATAATGCACACAGACACACAAAGAGTCAGTGGGCTTTGGCATGTCAAAACCCCGTTTGGTACAAGGGTTTATCGGCGCAAGCCAAGCCACGTACGTGGATGAGGGAGAAGTCACACTTTTTAATGTCCGTCAGATCCTTGCGCTCCTGGGGGGTCATGTTGGCTCGCCAGTCATGCATAAAGTTTTCGTTGAAAATATCCTTGTGCACGTAGTCTCGCGTGAGCATCATGGCGTAAAAGCCTGCAATCTCCTCTGCCTCCGGCTTTAGCAAGTAAGGCTTGCCTATATGGAAGGCGGGTGTGAGCAACAATGCGAATATTCCCGTCCACGGCCATACATTTGCCATATTCGTACCATCGTAGAGGAGGTGCACGCCCTTGGGCAGTGGCTCGTATGCGGGTGGGAAAAGTGGGCCGCGGTGCGTCAAGGTGCGCCACTTCTGGCCATCAGGGAGCTCTTCCTCCTCCCACCTGGCCAACGGATGTTTGTATGGCAATCAAGTACCCCATAACAGGCGTGAGGACGGGTGCAAGCCTAGCATGACCTGCAACACGGAGGGGCAAAGCAAAAGCAACGGCGCAAGATCGAACCAGCGATGGATCTCCTCCTCCTCCTCGGGCTCTTTCTTGGCTTTCTTGCGCTTGGGCTTGTTCTCTGTAGGAAGCCATCCAGATTCATGAGCCGGCACCCAAGTGTAAAGCCTGAACGACGAGTAGTGTCATGTCGCTCCACACGCGATGGATGTGAGCAGGCGCAAGAATATCGTGCACACCTCCGGCCTCTGGCTCAGTCTTGATGGCCTTGCCGTTGCGCTTCGCTGCCTTGCCATTGGGCGCCGCCGCTTTGCCTCGCTTCGCAGCCTGGGACGCGAGCAATGAAGATGTTACCAAAGAGCGAGCACGTGGCCTCCGTGGCTTGGCATGGAGTTGCAATGCGAGCAGCTGCTATCTATTGTTGTACCATCACTGACCGGTTGTGCAGCCTTTTTGCCTTTGGCGGGTGATTTCTTGGCCGCAGCCTTTTTGGCTGGCTTCTTTGGCTTCTCCTGTGGACAGTCACAATGTGAGGTTATGCTTGGCAGGCACTCCGGAACGGCATTGGCACTCATAGATAAGCTGGGATGGCGTTTTGTGCGTGCAGTCGCACAGGTCTGGTGGGACAGGGATTCAAGGCTTACATCGACCTCGAAATCTTCGTCATCGTCATCTACCACGGCTTCGCGAAAACTGGCCCGCTGCGAGGCGCGGCGCTTGGGGCGTCCGCTGGTACTGACGGCATCCGGGCCATCCTGCACCTCCTCTGCAGAGCCATGAGGGATGGAAGCAGCGTGCAAGATGCGGTTAGAAAGCGACGGGCATGGCAAACCAATGCTCGTCAAGCCAATGATCGGGCTGACTGAGAAGCAACAACTAACCCTTGACGGCCTTGCCGTTCTAATGCCATCCAAAAATGTGGCCCCGAAGCAATTTGAGCACCATGAAAGCAGGGCGCAGGAACAATTGAGCACGAGTTGTCACAAGCCACACTGTCTTGTATACACGCAACGCACACACGCGCGTGCGAACACACACACACACACACACACACACACAACCCTGATCTCGTTGTTGCTGACCCTCACAAAAAAAAAAAAATAACGCAAAGGCCTCGAAATTTTTTTCATGATAAAAAATTAAAAAAAAATCCAGACCCAACGAGAGCCTTGGAGACTGTGGCATGCAAGTGGAGAATGGCAGCAAGATATGCATGTCAAACAGACCTCTTCCTCTGCTGGCATGATGTACCGTTGGGGGGGTGGCACCACCGATCTACTTGTATCCATACAGCCACATTCCGGTGTGAGAACAGTGGCAAACACCAAAAGCAACAGACAATCAACCACTTGTGAGCCACCCACTGCACCCGCAACCTCCCCCAGCTCAAATGCAATTTGGTGCCCGAAAAAAAAAAGAAGGCGCGAGGAGTTGGAGAAGATACTGCCCCATTTGTATTGCTATCATCCTCACGCAGGACCGTGTGTCCCCGCCCTGACCACTGAGAGAAGTCTCGGGCACAAGGAGCAAGAGTAGAAGGGAGAGCGAGAGAGAGAGCGAGAGCGAGAGAGAGCCACCAGCAAAAACGGCGAAAAAACCACAACTCGTACCCAAGTCCAAGGGCGGGGAAAGTTTTGGCCGTCGATGCCCTCCGATGGGGTGAACGAGGCTTTAATGCAGATGGTACGAGGCCGCACTGAAGGATGTTCCGAACCTGCTGTCTACGTACGGTACCACTGCCAACCCGATAAAGCACCCCGACAACGCGGGTCGCCGCCGTTTTTTTCTTGTTGACCGTGGAACGCACCACCAACAAAATAAAAAAACGCTTCCTTTTGTTGAGTTGGGTGTGTGTGTGTGTGTGTGGTATTTCTTTTGTTCCTCTCCTCTCTCTCAGTCTCTTATCTCTCTCTTATCTCTCTCTTATCTCTTTCTCTCTTGTCTCTCTCTCTTCTCTCCTCATATCTCTCTCTTATCCTCTCTGATCTCTCTGGTCTATCTTATCTCTCTCTCTCTCTCTTATCTGATCTCTCATATCTCTCTCTCTTATCTCCCTCTCTATCTCTCTCTCTCCCCCTTTTCGCGTTTTTTGACTGTGCGTTGAAACGGCTCCCCTTCGTAAAGTGTGATAATGGCTCACTTAATCTAAGAGCTCAGGAGGCTAGTTTTTGTATTAGAAAGACGGAAAAAACTGGATTGAGAATGATAGATGGCTTAATCTTAGCAGCCACAACATGTACAACAACACATCAGCGCATCCGCGCCTCGGTCCCTATGGGGGAGAGCGCAGCAGACTGAACAAGTTTACGAGCCAGCCAGGGTCAGCAATGGGGACACGCACATGATGACGCGCCGAAGGATCACATGGGTGGGTTGGGACTCACGTTGCCCTCACATCCCGCCTCGGCCAAATGAAAGAAGAACAACACAAAATCAACATCATGAGCACTCACTCACTCACTCACTCACTCACGACAAACCCATCAAACAACACGCCACAAACACAGATGAGGAGGCTGTTCCATACAAAACTCAAGGAAACAGGTTGAACGAGGGCGGCATTCCAAATGCCATCATCAGACCAACCATCATCAGACCAACTGAAAGCCAAATACACGGCCGTCTACAGCTCGCAGCGCTAACCAGGAGAGCCATCTCACGCCATGGTGTCCGGTTCTGGGCAGGGCGTGCACAAGCGATGAACAAGCACAGCCGCCCCATCCTGGCACAGCCGCGCAATTGCAGCCTCGATTGTCGAGACCCCGGGTACAACCAAGTCGTTAAACTGCACCACATCGCCACGCAAACGGAGGAGGTGGTGCACCAATTTGCCGTCCGTTAGTACGCTAATCGCAAAGGAGCTGGGCCCCTTCCGCCGTACTAAAAATGCGCCTTCCTCTCCAAAGTCACGCAGGCGCGCCTCACTTTCCTGGCGCCCGATTCCGCCATGAAACCAGGGTTGATCCAACAAGGTGGAGCCCGAGCGTAGATCTGGCTTTCCACCCAACACCGATTTGGCCACCCCTGAAGCACCCACCCCCGGGCGCGTATGTTCCAAGCTCATCCGCAGTACGCCTTCGATGTAACCATTTGGTTCACTGAACACCATCAAGAGTTCATTCAAGTCATCGAAGCGCCCCACGGCCGTGTCATTGATACAGGCCGTTCCCTCCGGTAGGACACGTAACTTGTGATGCGCAAAAGTGTTGCGCCTGCGAACCGTCAGCACCACAGTGGCCGTGTTCTCACTGTACCGAAGAATAAAGCTGCCGTCGTCAAGATGGCCCAAGGCAGCTTCTGCTGACTCACGTGAGCAGTGGTCATGATACATGGGATGCAATCGCGCCTCCGCCAGCAGCGAACCTCCAGTCATGCCCACCGCACCACCGTCTTGACGCCGTGCGCCAGCCAGAGGCACGGCCTTCTCCTGCAAGCCCTCACGGCTTGATATCCCAATACTGTGGCTGCGCAGTGCCCGCGGCCCAGCCTGGTTATTCTTGGCCGATTCTACCTGTGCTGGTGCACTGCTACCTATGGAAATGGCACGGCCGCGCACGGCCTCTGCGCTCTTGGCAGAAGTCGCAGCAGGCGCGGGTGCTTCTTCAAAATGGGCGCCAGGTGCTGGCGCCGCTGGTACCTTCAAAGTTCGGGGAGGCAGAGCTCCAACCGATTTTTCCACTTTCGCTAGCCTTGCCGTTGGTGCTGGCTCGTCCGCCAGAGAAGGGTCGACTTGATCATTTCCAAAACCGGCAAAATGTTCCTCGGACGAACCAACAGCTTGCCGTGCCACCGGAGGGGTGTCAGACGAATCCACGGCCTCGGCCTCTTCCTGAGGCTTGACATCTACCCCATCGTACGTTTCTGGTGTCAGAGAGCTGGTTGCGTTGGGCTGATCGTATGTGTCGGGGACATACACGCCTGCACCCGAAGCGTTGGGCTGGTCGTATGTGTCGGGGGCATACACGCCTGCATTCGAAGCGTTGGGCTGATCGTATGTGTCAGGGACATACACGCCTGCATCCGAAGCGTTGGGCTGATCGTATGTGTCAGGGACATACACGCCTGCATCCGAAGCGTTGGGCTGATCGTACAGGACTGGATTGGAGATTGCGTCCTCCATGGCGTTGGGCGTGTCATACGTCTCAAAAGCAAACGTGGATGTCATGCTCGGGTCGTCTGGAACTGCATACATGGAAGAGATCGTCTGCTGTTGCGCTGGCCGATGGGAGCGTGGGTTGTCGTACGTCTCGCCATCCAAGGTCGTTTCGTGCATGGCTGACGACTCGCCGGCATTATAGCTGGCCAATGCAGCCACCATACCCGCACGGCCGCTTCCCATTGAGGTTCGACCGCTGCTCGGCTCCAGTGCTGTTGTATACATACCATCAACGTCAATCATTGCCATGCCTTGCGTGCTTGGCTCGGACGCCTTTCCGTTAAATTGATGCCCTACTGATTGTCGCTGCCGGCGTCGCATCACAACCAGCATCGCCGCCACAACACAGACCATGGTCACACAGATCCCCACCACCAGACCCGTAGAGACACTCTGGGGAGCCTTGTCTGCCGACGCGTCACGAGCGCTTTGCACTTCAAGTGACCCCGTTCCCAAAGCGCCCGACCAAGCGCTTTCATCTTCGCCCACCGCTGCTAACACCGCTGCCGCGGGCATATAAGCCAGCGTGGCATTGCTTCGCACGGCACAATTGATCACCAAGCTGTACTCGGCCAAGAGATGCCTTGCACCGGGCGCAGACTCAAGCCCGGCATCCCCGACCGCAGTAGCAACAGCTGCCCGCACACTGGGCAGCTGATTGTACTGCACCTCTGTATCGCTAGCCAAGCGCAATGTCAGCAAGCTGACAAAGCCCAGTGGCTGCAAGAAAGCCTGCAAGTTCCGCTCCACTTCATTTGCGTCCAACAAAGAAGGCGGCCGGCTGCTTCGTACCCGCAATTCCACCTGCTCCTCCAAGTTTGGCAGCACAAAATCGTCCACAACCACCGTTCGCTGTATTCGCGCAGTGTTGTTGTACCTGTCCCGTGCCACGTACTCCAGGACATAGGACGCTGCACGCCTCACGTTTATCACATTGACTTCAACCACCCGCACCCGAAGAAGGTGTTCTGAAGTATCCATGGCTGTTACCCCAAGCTCGCGATACTCCGTGCCAAAAGGTATGTGGACTTTCGCGCCACCCAAAAGCCGAAGTGTGGGCGCCACCGTGTCCACTACCAGATACTGCCGACTGGCACTGGCTTGGTGGCCAGCACCATCTTGCACACTGTAAATCACAACGTAAAGTGTACCGGGTGTTGCGTTGCGGAGAAGCATGACCAGTCCGCCTGTTGCAAGGGGTTGGCCCCGCTCGCCGATGGAAAAGTCGCTCCAGTTGTGAGGCGCCACCTCATTCAGTTGTCCTCGTGTCAAGACGACCTCTGTCAATGTGGCTGGCTCTTCACTTGTGTCAGTCTGTCCACCGCTGCCTGGCATGCTCATTCCCGAAGGTCTGTAGCGCTCCACTGACACACATACCCAGCTGGCGATATCTCCATCCAGGGCATCTGTCGCATTGGTGCCTGCGTCGGCAAAGAGGAGCGTACCGGTGGTCTGATATTCAACTGTCGTGGCGAGGGAACCCTTGATGTCCAGCCTGGGCGGCAATTGGTCCCGAATGGTCACGCGACGCGTCTGCAGCCGAACATTACCTACCGCATCTTGACTATGATGCCTCAGTAGGAAGACTGAACCTGCCGGTGCTGTTGAGACCACTGCAGCGGCGCTCGAAAAGCAGCGAGCTGCCTGGAAGGCACGGGATGCCGGGTCCGTCTGCCGGCTAGCACCAATGCCACAGACATGTGGCGCTGGCTCTGATGAAATGTTTGCCGCAACCAGCGTCGTTTCCAGATTGGCTGTGAGGTCTCCGTCCACCAGATCAATGGCAGAAATATTTGGGTACGGGGCTTCTGTTGCCGTACCACCCTCTAGAAAGATGTCGGGGGCTGTAATGACCGGCGGCGTGGTGTCTACGAGCGTCACCGTCGTCAAGCTTCGCGCCGTGTTTCCGTTATTGTCCGTGCACTCGATCAACACAGTTACCTCCAGCGGCGTGATGATGTGCATGCGGGGAGCATGTGACACGTTGTCAATGACGCGCTCATGCACATTGAAGAGATAGTTGTCCGTCACGTTGATCCAGTCGCCAAAGGGCAGCACATAGTCATGCCCGGCCTCAAGTGTGCGCATTGCATTAAGCTTGATGGTTGGTGCCGTCGTGTCTACCACCTGCACGACACGCTGTACGGTTGCGACGTTGTCGTAATCGTCTGTAGCGCTGTAGGTTTGTGTCACATTGAAGGGCAGTGGCGTGTCCGGATCAGGCGCTTTGATGATTTTGGGTGAGCTGTCGACAGCGACATTGCCCTTCAGCAAGTCATGGGCCGTCGCTCCGAGGTCATCATAGACTGCGCCTGCCTCTAAAGCAACAACAGATGGCCCGTGCATGTTGATGTTTGGTGGAAGGGTATCGACAATCGATATTAGGCGACGGGCATGGCCCACATTTCTCGCCGCATCCGGTACGGTGTAGTTGATTGCACACTTCTGAAGCAGGTTGCACGACTGGATCGGGTTGGTGACTGTGACCGTGGAGTTCAGCCAGCCATTAACAGCGTCAAAAGCTGAATAGCCAGGCTCATCAAAGGGAAAGGTGGCCTGCAAGAAAATGATATCTTGAGCCGTGTCCCTCCATTGACGGTCTGGGCGATTCACGTTGGGCGCCAGTTTGATGGTCTACAGCATAGCACAGGTCAAGCGGCAGTCGTGCTGTATGAGCAAGGAGTGGCTTATGACAACAAATGCGACGGACGTGCCCGTTTTCTCTGTGGGCCTTTTCTGCAAGCCGAGTCGTGACGATGACGTCGCATAACCAAGTTTAAGCAGCCATTCATACAAGTAGACAGTGAAATCGCCATACCGGTGCAATCGTGTCCCTTAGCATCACGAGTCGAGTCACGGGATCGGCGCTGAGGCCCTGCCGATCAGATCCCGTCTGCTTGTACGTCACTGAATAGTTTCCTGGTTGCAGAAGGTTGATTGCCGTGAAGTTACTGCTCCAGTCGTCTTTGAGGTTTGATTCGGATGAATCCTTCACTGCGGCACCGGGATCCTGGATGCCTGTTACAGCCGCTTCTTGCACCCAGGGATTGTCACCCAGAAGCTCAAGCCGGGGTTTGATTGGGTCTGTTATCTTGACGGTCACGACCAACCAGGCCGCGTTATTGCTCGCATCCACCGTGCTAAAATTCAAGAAATATACTCCAGGCTTGCCTAGCCCCCACCGTAAGATGTGCCATGACCAAACATGCAAGGTGAGGTCACATTCAATCCGGATGCCTTGCTAGGGGTCATCGGCGCCACTTGCAAATTACTTGCCACCATCCACAGTCCCAGTATGATTGACTGATAATTCAAAGGGCCATGCCGTGTCGGTGGCGTTTACAGAGGGGGGCTCGTAAAAAGCCGCCTCGAACTCCTTTTCCGTATATGAGGATACGAGGACAGGTGGAGTCTCATCTAAAACCAATGGAGGACCTGGTCAATGTCATGGCGGGCCTGCTTCTGATACATATATACCAGGACTCACCCTTGCAAGCCTCAGCTCCCACAGTTGAATTAAAACCTTTTGGGCACGATTTGCAATGTTCTGCGTTATAATCTGATTGATACTCGTCTAGGAAACACGGCACAGCGCCAATAGATAAATGAGAGGCATCTCCTGTCAACATCTGCCGAGCTCTCAAAACTAAAAAGTTCCTTGACACAGCCGCGCAACTCACTGGCGGGACACTGCTCGCAGACGCGATCTTGTGATGTCGATCCCGGGCGGCTCACAAATTGGCCAGGCAAACACAAAGTCCAATTTGAACAGGCACCGATAGCGTCATTTGAAGCAGCCTGGTATGTACCTAGCTCGCATCAACGGACAAGACATTGATGATGATGATGCCAAGGAAGCCAAGCAGCGCGAGGCAGCGAGTGACAATCCCTGTCTAACCGTTGAGGCATTCGGAGCAAACACGATCCGTTGATACCGTTGGGGCCTCATGCTCGTATTGGCCTGCCGCGCAAAACGACACGGTCTGCCGACACTCCTCGGCCTCGTTGTTGGTAGCATTCTCGAATTTGCCTTTAAACACACATAAAGATACAAAGTCATTTGTAAGAAGGTGCTTTTCCCAACACGCAGCCGAGGCGTGGCATGCGGCAACCTTGTGTGCACCAATCACAAGATCGATCTGAAGTAGTGGTCGGTGCTTGCTGTTGATACTGGCCTAGTTTGCACGCTGTTTTTTGCGTGCAATTGCCGCCTGAACGCCAGTATTCTGTGTCTGTGCGAGCCGATGCGTGGATCTGAGAGCTGGCCTGCATGCCCAGCTGCATTCGCGTTCCTCCATTGTCACTTACCACAAACACATTCCCGAAACTCCCCTTTAGGCTCAGTCGTGGCATCTACGCGCAATGGCCCCATGTGAAAAAACCAGGCCCGAGCTCAAGGAAAACGCCTCGCTCAAAAAGCAAAAACGAGCGATCTCACTCTCGGGGCATTCCTCACAAGCATCGGGATTGAGCCCATATGTTGTGTTGGGGCTTGTTAAGAGGCAGTACTTCTCATCAGCTCGGACTGGGAGGGCTGCCGCCCACAACGCAAGCAACGTTAGCACGGTGGCCACAGGCACCATGCTGACGGCCTTGGCAACGGTTACGCGTGCACATTGAGCAGCCATATGCTCTTTTCTCAGCCGAACCCTAGGTCGACTGGCAAGGAAGCAGACTTGCGTGGCTTGGCGGCAACTAGACTGTCACCATGATCTTGTGCCAATCACTCAAAGTTGCTTGTGTGAGGTCATCAGCTGTCATGCAAGAAAAATTGTATTGGGGATGAGAAGTGAGAATAGGATCAACGCATGTGCGGATCGATTGCCCCAAGCATCTGTGTCCCCCTTGCCTGCCCATTCTCCCCTGCCCGCTTTGCCGTTTTGTTTTACCGCACGATAAGCGTAGCGGTGATCATGTGTCACAGCACAGCTTGATCCGCAAGAGCCCGAATGGGTTGGTCGATGGACGAACGCAGACGACCAGATAAGCGAGCCGCACAAAAACCAACGCCCTTTACCTCATCGACGATATAAAGCGCTGTCCGACCGGATCCCGAAGCGCAACTGCGGCGGCACTGCCCCCGCCTCGCCCCCACCCCGGCTCATCGGCGACAAACCGCCACTCAGTCCGCCGATGGCGTCCTTGCGATCGATATCCTCACTGCTTTCATCGGCTGAAAGCAAGTGCGATAAAGTCTATCTTTTATGCAACAACTTGAACTTGATTCCTGTGGCGCACCACATAAACTCAGCAACACGCTTCAATTACGTCATCTTGTCACCTTGTGACATAAAACTTGACTTGGATGTCAACAAAAGTGTTTGCTTGTGTGTATGCTCGTGTGCCCGTGTGTCTGCCTGTGTGTACTTGTGTGTACTTGTGTATGCCTGTGTGTGCCTGCGTGTGCCTGTGCCTGTGCCTGTGTGTGCCTGTGTGTGCCTGTGTGTGCCTGTGTGTGCCTGTGTGTGCCTGTGTCTGTGTCTGTCTGTGAGGCTGGCTGTGTCTGTGTACCTGTGTCCTGGCGTGTGCCTGTGCCTGTGAATGAGTCTAGTGTCTGTGTCTGTGCCTGTGGCTGTGTCTGTAGCGTGTCTGTGCCTAAACCCAACGCTTTTGTCCACGAACCACATCCTTCGACGGGGTTCATGACCAGGCAAACAACTTAGCGTCCACTTTGCGGGACGGGTCAATTGCAGCGTAGAGGCGAATAGAGACTTGATTATATGGGAGCAGAACGTTTGAGGGAGAGTGAAGCTAGGGGGCGTCATGGGCTATGAAGCTGAGCCCGGGCTGTGTCGTGCGCTGAAACGAGCGGCAAGCTGGGCAAACCGGGCCTGCTCCTCCTCCAGATCCTCGAGCACTACCGTGGCGTTTGGACAGGCGTGAGTGCAAGCGCAATCAGCTCGATCGTAGGTTGAAACCAGGAGCCAGGCGGGCCACGCACAATGCTCGGTCCAATTTGCCATTGCAAGATCTTTCGTATCCGACATCCATTCCTGCGGTCAGTTCACTAGTGAAGACTCAAGCTGACCGCGGGACAGCCCCAAGCGGCCCGGCCAGTAATGTGGGCCACCACCTTTGGCGTACCCTTGGACCGTCGGCTTTGGCAAAGTTGGCAAATAGCTGATCGGCTGACATGTGCGTCGCCAGGCCGAGCTGCAATGCTTCTGCGGCTGTCAGCTATAAGAGGGCATGAGTACCCAAAAAAAAAAAAAAAAAAAAAAAAAAAAAAAACCAGGGATCTGGTCAAGGCAGCATCACATATGACTCCACACAAGTGAAAGTGCAAATGCAGAGTTGGGTCAGACCTTAGGACTGGCTCCCATCACTTGCAGGACTTGCCCGGGGGGCAGAAGGCGTCTGAGGCGAGCGGCGCCGCCCCAACCTGGATGGGCGTATTTGGAATGAGGATCACAAACTTTGCACGGCACCTGGCTGATCTGCTGCCTGTTGGCTCGCGCAGAAGGGTGGACGCTGCCTCTGACCTGGAGCCAAGCCATGACGAGCATGAATAAATTGTACGGTGGCATCGGTGTGCATCACACGCAGATCTCCCACCTAAACCAATGCCCATCAGAATCCAGCAGTAGGCGTCAGTAATGCGCAAGGGGAGTCGAGAAGCTGGTGCATGTCTCTCCCATCATGCGGACAGCACGTCAAGCTCGAGTCTCATCGGATCTTACGCTAAAGAGCTCGCCGCCGCCCCCAATCGCTGGGCCTTCAGCTAATGTGATGATGGGAACGGGAAGAAGCTGCAAGAGAGTTGTAACGGCTTGCATGTAGTCGCACATGAGGGCAGCGTCGCTGGCCGAGCAGTTGCGTAAGAGTTGAAGGTGCGACCCGGAGCAAAACGCTGCCGTGTCACCCCGCAATACCAAGCCCTGGCAAGGCACAGTGGCGGGCTCGGCCAGCATCAGTACATGCTGCCCCATTTGATCGAGCATGGCGCCACTCATGGCGTTGCGGCGAGCTGGAGAGTCCAGGACGAGCTCGAGCACGCCTGGACAATGCGGCCGCTCATGCAGGCGCACGTGGCCTTCAGCTCCCAGTTCACCCAGCTGCCGCCCAATAGCACGAATCTCTGACCCCAATCCCACCAAAGCAGCCCGAACATCTCGAGGCCGTACTCGTCGCCCCAAGGCCTCAACCTCAACCCTCGCTGCGGCCACCAGCCGCCGCCCCAATCCGCCGCCACCCCTCCCAACTCCTGCTGCCGCCGCCATTGTCGCATCCAAATTTTTGAAAAAAATTCTCTCAAACTCTCCATGACCCCATGTGGTAGTTTTACTTTCTCTCTCTCTCTCTCTCTCTCTTTCGCCTCTCTCTCTCTCTCTCTCTCTCTCTCTCTCTCTCTCTCTCTCTCTCTCTCTCTCTCTCTCTCTCTCTCTCTCTCTCTCTCTCTTTCGCCTCTCTCTCTCTCTCTCTCTCTCTCTCTCTCTCTCTCTCAGTCTCTCAAACTCTAACTCTTTGTTCCATTTTTGGATCAGGTCTGTCTCTGCGCTCTCTCTCTCTCTCGCTCTCTCTCAAACACAAACACACACACACTCTCTCTCTCAGACTCTCTCAAACCCTCTCACTCAAACTTTCTCTCTTTCTCTCTCTCTCTCTCTCTCTCTCTCTCTCTCTCTCTCTCTCTCTCTCTCTCTCTCTCAAGCGGCAGTTGGACGGCCGCATGGCCTTTGAGCTGGATGTACTTTGGTTGGCACTAGAGTATCACAGCAGGGGAGGGCGGGACGGAACTGTTGCTGGGCATTGACTAGGGTGTTTATCCTTGGTGTCAAGCGCCTTTTTATGGCTGCGACGCATCGTGCAGCGCCTCGATCAAGATGAATCTGTGGCTCTCGGCCGCTCTGGTTGGGTTGTGCTGCTCATCCAACTACCTTCGCGTTGACCCTGAGCAGTCAACCGTCGTCTCCTCGCGAGATGATCCTTTTGAGCGGTGCGTAACGACATGCCCAACCGACCGGGGCCGCCACTTCGTGCCGTGTGCGACATCAGCTCATGTGCTAGTGTCGTGGCCCGGCTTGGGTTGGCATTAGAGTACACGAGCTTCTCGCCGATGAAGACATGCCCTTATCTGTACGTGCTTGGCCCCGCCTACCGTACACAGCACCTTGTCTCACAGCACAACCTTGAGAACTGATGGTGGTATGGTCGTTCCCGTACCCTTCGCGGCACGGACAGGAACAAACCGACTTGGCATTTCTGCTGATGATGAAAGAGAGTGAAAACCTGCGGCACCAGGTACATTTGCCACCTTTGACGCATCCCCTCTGTGCCTCCTCCGTGCTCATGCTCTCTGATCCCTGCCCCCCAGCTCTTGGGCTCTGAGCTACGCACGCGCGTGGTGCAACGAGGTATGGAGCTGCTTCTGCCTCTCAGTTGGCACGCGCCCTCGCTCCCTCTGCCACCTTCGCATCAGCTGATACATTGTCCGTGTGGCCTGTTGGGTGGCTTTGTCGGCATTTCTGCAGCTCAAGCTGAAGAAAATGACTGCCCGGGATGCGCTCAGAATGAATCGCCAGCAGACCAGCTCTGCCGGCCGTTTCGCTCACATAGCAGGTTCGTCGGTCTCATGCGCCCTTTGACTCAGCTGCAAACACACTGCATGTTGACATTGTCCGCGCTCATCGCTTCTTGCCCGCCCCAGCGTGGACCACCTTGAGGGCGTACGCGCCCGTGCAGCTCTGCCCCAAATTGTTGAAGCCGACGTAAGACGCCAAGCTGACTTGCCATCCAGTCGGAATGTCCCCCATCCACCAAGAGGCCTCTGTTTAACCACTATCCTTGTGTTGCTGTCTTTATGCTCGTGAATCTTCATAGGCTTACACAGATTTGACCCTGGCAGAAGCTGACATGATACTGCAGAAGCACAATCGCCTCTCCCGCGAGCTGATGCGCCTACGCTCGAATAGCATTGAGGTGCGTCTCCTTCACTGTATTATGCCACGTGTACACGACCACAATACCACTGTGACCAGAGCAGCTATGATGATTGACAATGCCATGACCGGGGGCTGTGCATTAGATCAAGTTTTCAGCCGACGACTATGTCTCTGCAGCCATCCTCTACCGATTCAAGGGCAATACTACTTTGGCCATTGAGTGTTATCGCCATGCCCTCGCCATTAATGCCAAGCATGAACAGGCCTTGCTGCAGCTGGGATACTGCATGTTGCGTGCGGTACGAACCCCGGTCCAAGCGCATTCAGGTCTACTTTTCTAGGCTCTGAGGGCTCGTCTCACCTTGATATCTACCTCTGCTGGGATTGCTCGCACAGAACTACGCTGTGGACGCTGAATATCTCTTACGCCGAAGCCTCAAGTTTGCCTCGACCACCTCTGTCCAATCACAGGCACACTTTGCGCTTGGCGAGACACTGCAGGTTCAAAAGCGTCTGCTCGAAGCCATCACCGAATACGAGACAGCCATCGCCCTCACCCCACAGCATGGTTCTGCTCAACTGCGCCTGAAGGCCGCACGGTTCGTGTCCGCTTGACCGAACTGTCGATGTCTGAGGGTTTTTAGCCACCAATGCAGCCACCATTGATCAAGCTCACGACTCCTCCTATCCCTGCTGTCTCGTCCTCACAGGGCTTTGCTGCGTGAGCTGGACAGCCAGAAAAATGCATCCTCCACCTGGGCCCTCATTGGATTCTGCGTAGCATTCACCCTGCTGGCGGTGTATTTCGGGGTTGCCATGCCTGAACAGAATGAAGCTCGAGTTAAGGAGCTTTATCGCCCCTTTCCCCAAGCCAGCACCCGTTCTGCACCGGGCACAAGGCCCATGACCACAGGCGCCCAGTTACGCCAGCGCCCGGGGCCCCCGCACCGCAAATGACATGGCGATGCCTGTCGGACTTGTTGATTCGAAAAATAGATGCCGAAACACTTGCAACGAAAAACCCGAAAAGCATGACGCAGTACGCTGTGGCCGTAGCGAGTACCCGCCTCCCCCAACAACACGCGTTTTCGGCGGCTTGGCGATGAACTCAGTAACTCATTTCATCAATCAATCTGCGCCACACCTTGGGACTGCTGAGGATGGAGAAAAATTTTTTAATTATTGTAAAACAAAAACAAGTCGTCGCGCCATCAAGCAGAACACCGTTGGCTTGACTTAACATCCCGCGCCGAATGACGGAGAAATGCGACTTTCGCTGTTTGACACGAGCAATAGCGCTGACATTGACCGAACCATTTTTTTATCATGCCGCGTGGGCATCGAGTGCAGTCGCTGAAATATACGTCGTCTCAAATATAAATTCTTCAGAAATTCCGAAAAAATAAAGAACAATCAATTTCGTTCACGCTGGAGGCTGGAGACTGGGACAACACAGGCATGTCAGATAACGACTCGGCTCGGCCGACAACAAGTGTTTTTTGCATTCTCTCTCTCTTTGCCTGTGAGCCGCTACACGTACGAGCTGCCCGTCACTGAAGAAAGGCTAAAAAAAGACAAGCAAGCCAAAGTGTCCGAGGGAGAACAAGAAATACAGACAGAGAAACAATAAAAAATGAAAAATGAGTGCAGCACGGCAAGAAATGAGGTGCCTGGGATGGGCAGATTTCGCGCGCAGAATAAGCGGATGGGGTACAGCTGCAGGCCACCTGACTTACGGGATATCGCGGCGGCGAAGGATGGAGGCCGAAGACAGAGACATGGATGGCACAGGCGAAACTGAGCGCCTCTCTGGTCGAGTGGAGGCCAAGGTGCCTTCAAGCGACATTGCACTTGTGCGGGCACTTAGTGCAAAGCGGGGCGCCTCGCCTGGATCACTCATTGATCGACGTCGACGACCGGGTTGCTGGTTATTGGCTTCCGGTGGTGCCGACGGGCCAGCTGCCATCATTTTGCCGACCACGTATTGCTCCCATTTACGCAAGATGGGGGGATTGAAACTGGCTACCGTCGTTTCCCGCTTGGCCAGGGGATAGCCGGCCACCTCTTGAAAGGCGAGTTGAATGGCCTCGGCCCAATCTTCTTCTTCGGAGATATCTGTCATCTCTTGCTCCTCTGCTGTGCCAAAGATTTCCTGTGTGTTCTGCTGTGCTTCATCAGCGATCTCACTCAGGCCTACAAGTGTAGCAACATGTTTCAAGGTCAAGGGCCGCTCACCAGCTTGCATCATGCTGGGAGCGTCAAAAGTTGGCTAGACAGGTTTCGTACGATGGGCGGGCTCGGCCGTTTCTGCGACTGTTGAGAGTTGACGAGTCGACGATGATACCCTACGAATACGAGCTGCGCATGCGGATCAAGCCACAGCATCGCACATTCGGCGTAAGTTGAAAGCGCATAAAGTTTGGGGACAAGTGATTCATTCGAGAATTGCAGATCGTAACCCACCGCTGCCAGGACGACTTGAGGTTTGTTGCCCAGCCTACATCGAAAGGAAAAATAAAGGCACAGGAAAAGCAAAGACAAACAAACAAACAAGCAAGCAAACAAACAAACACAAATTAAGACCGGCAGGGAAGGGAACAAAAGATTGTCGAGTGCACTAGCAAACTCAAATGCGGCACAAAGTAATGTCACGCCGGTCCACACGGCAACAAGCACAGTGACAGCTGCTGCTAGAGTGGCATTGAAGCGATCTGACCTCGATGCGGAAGAGAGAGTGTGGTACGCTGCTGTGCTCAGCATCCTCCACAACTAAAACAGCCCAGCGCGGATGAGGATAGCTCAGAAATCGCGTCCCGTATCTGTGATGTGATGCCATGGTGGTGCCTACCAAGAAACTCAGGGAGACTCGAAACAATGGCGGCCATGTCAAAGAAGGACTGCAAATCGCGGCGCAACCCCAAGTTGATGGGAAGCAAGGCCAGTCGCTTGCGCATCTAATTGTAAAAACACACAGACACTGGGTGTTGAGCACTGCCCGGCCCGTATCGGTGCTCATTCTCTCGTACACATGAAGGCTCGGGCGACAACAAACAAGCGAAAATCGTCAGCTTACGTGCAAAAACACCCCAACATCTTGGAAAAGCTCTGGTTCGAGTTCGCGCAGCTCATACATCTGATCTAGGCTCTTACGGCTGTTGATGATGTTCGTAACATTTTGCAGCTAGCAAGTACCAAGTCGGCAATGCGTCGAGTTAGTCATCGTAAATGTGGCGCAATGCAAAAGAGCTGGGAGAAGATGCCACAAAAGATTTTCTCAAACACGCCGATACCTGAAGCTTGATTTCGCTGTACGGGTCCTTGGCATTCGGATCCACCTAGAAAGAGCGCCGGTACGCATGCTTAGTGTCAAAAGGCGGGAGCAGAGCCACGCACGGCACTGTTGCGGAGCCTACGTACATTGTCAAAAAGCGGCGCGGCGCGCTCCACAGACACCGCGACCGGGTCTTGTGGCGCTTGGAATAGAGTGTGGACATCAAGCGGGATGGCCACGCAAATGTTGCTGTTGCTCAATCTAGCAGTGTGCAGAAACATCTGATAAGTGGTGACGCAAATGGCAATCTGGTCAAAGGGCGTCGGGAGGCAGCACGGCTGCAAAGCATACCGATGATGTACGTTTGTTTGGTGACCCCAGCCTGCGGCGTGAAGTGCAGCGCGCCCCGAAGCAGATCGCACCAAAAGGCTGAGTGCATAAACACACGTGCCGCGAAGGCTCATAATCTACGTTTCCAGCATTGCCAAACAATCAGATTGGCATGTACTTCTTTCTTTCCTTGCGGCGTCTTGCATTTTCCAAGAATGACTATCTTTTCTATGAGAGAGCTGGTTCAAGCGCCCAATCATGAACGTACTGCGGTGGTTGTTGCCAGTTGACACATGCTGGCAATCAGCTTGCTGGAAACGCGCGAGTCTTGCTTGTTGCCCGCGATGTGGCAAAGCGACCAGATGACGCTTTGCAGCCGATGCAAGTCCTAGCGATGCCAACCAAACCGGTCATGTCGACCCGAAACACAAGTCAGAGACAGAGACAGAGACAGAGACAGAAACAGAGACAAAGACAGAGACAGAGACAGTGACAGTGACAGAGACAGAGACCAGACCGAGACGGAGACGGAGACCGAGACGGAGACGGAGACTGAGATCAAGACCGAGGGACAAGACACAAGACACAAGACACAGGCACAAAACACATGTACCACAACCGCAAAAGCACAAGAGTGCATCACAGCCTTGTTTGCAGCGTACCGCCTGATTGTCTAGTGACTCTCGACTCAGTCGAAAGTATTCGTTACATAAATGCGTTACAACGCCGTGCTCATGTAGATACTCCATGCCCTGCCAAGTCCCGGTGAACATTTGGGAGTCGGTGTGAAGGGGAAGAGATGAGGTGACGCGGCACCCGAGTGTGGTGCTGTTCGAGAAATGCAACCAAACACACGTACCGAATCATGTGCGGCAAGCTGGCCGTATAGATGGGTGGGCACGTACACTTTACCCATGCGCCCGCCGTCATCTGTAGCCAGCGTCCTGGAAAGCCGCCGAGCACCAGTGAGCTACGCTTCCAAGACTGAATCCGCTTCCTTGTTTGTGGTGGCTACTGCAACGGCACGACAAGAACGGCGAAGGACATACGTCTTGACGCGAAACAATTTGCCTGGATCGGCATACAAGTCGCGATTCAGCGCCTCTTCGACCTTGTGCACATATCGCAAGCAGCGCGAGCTTGCCCTACATCAGCGATCATGTACGTTGATGAACGCAGGCAAGTCCAGGTGGTGCAGAATGCTCTCGCCATATCGCCCGTGAGCAATGGCAGATGGCCAACCCCACTTTCACCTGACATGCACATGCTCCTTCGCCTGCCCCTCAGCTTCTTCGACCCGCCGGGCTTTTGCCTGAGGCTCCAGCAAACGTACCAACGTGAGAGCTGTTGCTCGACAATCTTGGGATGCTCAGCCAAAAACTGGCGGAAGCATTCACGAGCCCCAAACAAGCGCAACTCCAAGCGCGAGATGAGCATTTGAAGGTCCTTGATCTCGCGCGGATCCGTTAGGCTTTGAGACCGCTTTAGCATAACCTCATGCTGCTTGAGGGCAAGCGCACAAAAGTCCTCTGTCGAACACAGAGACAAAAGAGTGTTGACGGCGCCCGTTCGCGCTTTCCTGCAAAAGCAAATGCCAAGTAGGTCTGACGTGAGTCAAGCCACAGGACGTCGGTGTGTTCTGCTTCAAGTGCTTCAAGCCAAAACAAAGGACAAGCTCGCTTCTCTCTGAACCAGAGGCGGGGGCTTTCGGCATGCATGCAAATGAGTAGGGCACAGCGAATCCTCTGACCCAGGTCTCGATTCCAGGATGGTATGCACGACGAGCTCAACGATCCACTTGTTAAATTCGATGACATCGTCGGCTCGCGTCGGCACTGCCAAAACATCTAGCTTGGCCAACACCTTGATTTGCAAATTCTCCGAGCCATTGCGTAGAGCAAATCTATTTCCCAGCAGCCATCGAGCCTTGTCAACAAAAGAATGGTGGCCCGGAACATGCTCATCTACCGCAAGGCTGGGGAGCATGGTGCGAAAGAAGTCGGGCCAGCGGAACAAACTTGTAGAGTCCGCGGACGGCTTTGGAGCGCTGGGGATTGCACGAATCAATGATCAGCTCGCCCAAATCACGACGTTCCTTGTACAGGCACTTATGAAGGCGTGTGGTGATGTGCTCTTGCAAAAGCGCTTGGCCACTGAAACATTGTTGATGGTTTTTTTTTAATAAAAAAGAAGAAAAAAAAAAAGAAATAAAGAAAAAGGAAACAGGTGTGAGTGGGTGCAGGGTTAAGAGCTGAAACACATTGATACCGCACACACACACACCTTTGGGTTGAGTACATGCAGGCAATGAGGCGAAAATAGTCGCGCGTTAACGTCGAGCTGACAGCCTGGACCGAGAACACGGATTTCTAACAACAATCAAGCATGTTAGTAAAACGCCGAGGATATAAGAGTTGCAGGCTTGATTCGCATGAGAGTAGTCGCGTTTTGAAGAGCCACATACATCGGGGGAAATGTCGCTGAGGGCAGCCAAAAGGGTTTTGAAGAAGTCGGATTGCCGGATGCAGTCACAGCCGTCTACACGCGCAGTAAGTCATCACGTTTTGAGCCTGGCCACCACTTGCACCATGGTGTATGCGCGCGCGTGTTTTGGGGCGGAGGCAGGTTCAGAAGGGCTGGGCAAGGCATGACTTGACGAGCCAACCTTGGTACTTGACGAGGTTGGAGAGGAGAATCGTGCCGGCGCGGGTGTAAATGCTCATCTGGTGCTCCTCAAAGGCTGCAACGAGACGACCAGTGAGGAATGAGGCCGCCGAAAGCAAGGCACCAAGGAGTGATCTTGCGTTGAAGCCGGGATCCAGAGCTGGCATCACACAAACTGACGATGGGTCCGAAAAGGAGAGTCGGTGTGGAAGTAGGAAAGGATGCGGCGAACAAAACGGGGAAAAGGGAGAGCTTCGCTCGCGCCTTTGGGGTACAAAAATGCCGAATCGCACACCTGCTCAAAATGCAAAAGGGGGTGAGCGCGGGAAGTGGACAACAGAGGCATCGGCAATAAGGGGAAAGCATGGCGACTGCACCTCGAGAATGTGCGGCCAGCTCCAACTCAGCATGTCTTTGCTTTCCATGACTTTGGTGTCACGCAGCGCCTGCATGAAGGCGGCCTCACTCAATTCCCACTTGAGCTTGTTCATGTAATTCTACCGATATGCGACAACGGTGTGGTCATGGGGCAGGAGTGAATGATAGAACTTGAATCACAAGGGGCAGCGGAGTTGGACGTACGGGTCGCTGTAAATAAAAGGTGTCCTCCACTTCATCAATGTGGCGGGTGGCTTCGGCCATGTCAATGGGCAGCGGCTCTTGCTGATAAATGGTCAGCATCTGTCGGCGGTAGCGGTCCATGTTCCTGTAGACGAGGTACAGCCGATACTTGGCCGTGAGTGCCAGAAGAGCAAACCGAGCATGGCCCCATTCAAGGGAGAACGGCGTTGATTCTCACAACAGCCACGGAACGACAACTGCGTTCTGTATAAAGTCATCACCCAACGAACCAGCTGGCTTCGTCGACACGCATTTTCTGCTTCTCGCATGCGTTGGGAGAGCTGCTCAGGCTCATCAAGAAGGGTAAGGCTTGAAGGCTGAGGGCTAGCTCGTTGGGCAAGAGACGGCTCGTCAGCTCCAGCAAATCAGCCAACAAGACGTTGGCTCGCACTCGAATACAAGCGTCTTCCATGGTGACAATGACCTGCAAACAGCATGCGATTGCCGATGTGACTAAACTGGCAGAGTAGCGTGCGAAAGCTTTGGGCGCCTTTAAGCAGAGGCGTGTGCGTGGATAACGCACATGAAGCAGGGTGTCAGCCAATCCAGCTTGGCGCAGGGCAGCCACCACGGCGGCGCGGTAGACGTTTAATAGGTCAATGCGGCGATCCCGGCGGCGAACACCCGACTTGACTGTGGGAGAGTATGCAGCAGGATAAGAAAAGAACATGTGCTCACTCACGGTTGAGTACGGCCAGCATTCTGCTGTCGGGGTGGGCAGGGGAAGTCGAAAGCAAACGGACCTTCAGCCAAGAGATCACTGGCGTAGGGCGGGATCCTTTGACGAGATGTGTGAGTTTCAGGCGTTGTGAGGCATGTGGTGAGACGAGGCGATTGGTCAAACATCAAGAGCAGGGGACAAATTGGTGCGTACCGGTACTCTGTGGCTTTTTGAAAGTTTTCGCTCCAAGTGGGCAGCGGCAAAAGCAACAAGTGAAAGAAGAATGCCAACAGCGAGCTGCAAGTCTGCAGCATGAAGCAGATTCAGCAGAATCAGTATAGCATGCTCCGACATCCAGCGGGTAGGACGAGCATGCAGACACAGATGGACACAGCGCACTCAACCAAGCCCCCCCAGAGAGCCGGGAACATGTGAATCTCAGAGTCTCAGATTATGTGTGGAAACACGATCGGTGCCGACGCCACAAACCGATGAGTCCATGGATGGTGAGTGCAGGACGCGGACGAGGGATGTCAGGCCATGCGCCGCATTGGTCAAATAGACAATGCCTACACATGTCAGAGCGAACCACTCGGAGTGAGAGTCTAAAGGCTCGTGGTTCAGCCGGCCATGCGTTTGCTCACCAGCCCAAGAGCGAAGAAGGTGAAGGACGGAAAAGCGGCTAGCAGCAAGGCGGTTGTTGCGATCTTGAGCTTCGGTGACATTTGTTTGCAGCGAGCTTTCCGAGGAGGCGGGCGCAAGGGCACTGATGTGCACGAAATGAGGATCCAAATACGGGCTCTATAAATAGCAACGCGGTGAGACATATCGGCGCAGCGCACCAAGGGCCGAGTACGCGAGAGCTTGGCACGCAAGAGCTCGTGGCCGAAAAAATGGCAACAGTCAAGCAGGGGTTGGCTGGAGCGCCGGCAAGGGCGAGATCAGCCGGGATCGCACCAGCAGAGAGGCAAATATGTTGTGGGCTGCAACACAGTTGTGCGGTGCCCGATTGGCCGTGTAGACCAGCGTTTGCACAATGGCCTAGCCTCAGTGGGTCAGGCAGGTCAGGCGGGTCAGGCGGGTCAGGGACAAAAGGGTGCAGAGTAAGCAGCTGCGGCGGCAACAAATTGGCCCATGCTTGGTGCGATGCTTGTGGTCGGGGGTGCGGGTGCCAAGACGGAGGGTTAGGTGGCGCACCAGATTGCGAGCATTGTGCGCATTGTTGTGGCAGTCCAGGGCCGCGGCAACAAGAACCTAATACATGAGTGAGGGAAACGGGATCAGATTTGCACCGGCATTGTGGATGAGCAACAATTCGAAAAGAGTTGCGTTGGTGGTGGAGGTGCAAACCTGAAAGCCATCGACTTCGGCCAAGAGCCGAGGGTTGCGCAGCGCCAATTCGCAGAGGAATTCAATGGCAGCCAATTGTAGGTTGTCATTGTAATCGGCAGCCAGTGCCGCTACCGTGGCCGCTATTCAAAGAGAGCCAAGGGAAGTAAGATGCGAGCGCAGGTGGGGTCGACGATGTCTCGGTTGGGAACCTGGCAGTGTTGGTCTCACCAATGGCCCGCGGAATGTTTTCCGGCTTGGTGAGGCGGAGGAGCTGTCGAGCCAGCTTTAAAAAATCAGAGGCAACGGGGAAAGAAAATGGCACAATTAGCGATTTGGCGGAAACACAGAGGGGTGGGGCGGTCTGCGCCATCGTTTCAGGGCAAAATTTTGCACCAGGCAGACACATGCAGTGTCTGCGTGGGATTACTAGTGGGACGCAACGGATGAAAGAGATGCCTGCGAGCGTACCGCCAGGGCTTGGTGTCGTTCGCCCTCAAACATGCGCTGGGCCGAACGTTCAAGGGCAATGCAAGTAAAAATATCAAAGCCGCGTCGAATCGCCTCAAGCGCCAACTCATCTGGTGACATGGCACACATGAACGTGATCGCAATGCATGAATGGTGTCATGCGACACAGGGCGTGTAAACCGAGTTGCAGCGGTGATCGAGTGAACAGGACAAAAAAAAAATTCCCTTGCACGAACCGGTGGCTACGACATGGCGGACGGCTCGAAGGGTTGCTGCGCGCAGTTGGACATTGTCGGTGCCCATGAGGAGGCGTAACCTGACATGGGGTTTGGGAATGTGAGCCATGATCGTTGGACGGGTCCACGGGCAAATGCATGGGTTGAGCTGAGGGACGAGAAGGCACGCACTGCTTGAGGAGGGCCGAGCTTTTGCTCTGGAGAAGGTTGGCCAAAGCAGGGTCCTTGCGTTGTTTGGCAAGTTTGTCGCAGAGGAAGTTGAGGTAATGAACCTGCGAGAGGAAACGGTCAATCCAAACGTGAAATCCGACGACAGATTGGCAAAAGCCATCACGGTAATGATCTTCAAGCCGAAGGCGACCGGGAGACAAGCGAGTGCCGTGGGCATCAGATACCTTTTCGATGTCCTTGATGGAGTCACCATGCAGGGCCAGAATAATTGTTTTCAGGTTGTCTGCCGGTTTGCCTGGGGGGGGGGGGGGGGGGGGGGTTTCCTGGGTTTTCCAAGCCCCGGGGGAAC